TTCTGGAGGCTCATTTTTTGCTCTCCGTCTCAGCTAGACAGTTTAAACAGCTTCTGTTTAAGCTTCTTTTTGACTGCAATTTTTCTCTCCTGTTTTTGCTTATTCTTTATGCACCACCATCAGATGTCTCTACCTTTGATTTTAAGAAGTCCAAAGTCAAGAATCAAGCATTTAACCCAAACATTTACCTAGCCATCTACATTGTGCTAGGCTCTATGACAGGTACTTTGGCATGAATCCAATATGGTCTTTGCCCTCAAAGAGCTTACAGACACCAAGCAGCCAGAACACTTAAAACACAAATACAAAGCAATAAAGCAAGTGCAATGACAGAGAAATATTAAAACTGCTCTGGGAAGAGTGGCAAGAGTTTCCCTTGGAAATTGAGGGAAAACTTTGAAAAGAGAGAGACATTAGCCGAAGCCTGTTCAAATGAAGAGGAAGATTTGGGGGGAGAGGGCAGAATATCAAATGAGAAAACAGAATAAGCAAGGAGTCCAAGTTCAAGTGACTGATGAATGATGAAGCTAAAGGGAGAACTAAGGTAGGAACTGGACAAGATGCAAGATTTTAAGTTTTACAGTAGACTGCTCCTGATGTGTGAATAAGATAAAACAATACTAGCCTTTAAGGCATTTGAGACTTCAGGGAGAACCTGAATATCTATGCATAGAAATTCCACATTAAAGTGCTCTCTTTAATGCCTTAATGCCTTTACTCTTGCATATTCACCTCTCAGAAAGCTGGCCTGAAACTGAAAGAGTGCTGTCAGCTAAAGCAGGGTGTACTAATCACACAGTCTTACACCATGAGGCTTGAAATTTACCTGAGCTTTACATTATTCTCTGCTTGTGCATCCTGACCTCTGTAGTCATGGACTTTCTGTTCTTGTCACTGATTCTGTGACATTTTTCCTCACATTATAGAATTCAGTGACATTACAGACCTTGGCCTGTGGTTTATATGGCTACCATGGTGGAATTCAGCTAGGACTCTCCTACCCAAATGACTCCATATTTCTAAAGCTTAGATAAAAATGAAATATTTGTTGAAATAATACAGCATCACATTGAAAATAGTCACCACTATTTGAAATAAAATATAGTGAATCACAGTTTGAGCTAGAGCCAAATTTTAGGAAATACTAACACCTAAGTTTTGTCTGGTACCTTTCTTGTTAATTTTCAACTGCTATGAGCCATTGCATGATTAAACTCTGCTTCTATTTCCCAGACCTAAGTAGAAACAGTTGTCCTGATCTTTATCTTAAAATTATAAGTATTATATAGTTTTAAACTTCATAATCATGGCTCCAAACCCTTCAGGGATTTAGAGCAGACTTATAAGTGATTTTCTCATGGCTTTAATATTAAGTCTTAAAACTACCTACACTTAATTTTCCAGAGAGACCATGCTAAGTTGCCTTCTTAGAATTCCCAGTTGGCAACCAAAGTAATTCCTGCTCACTCTCCTGTTTCGCTCCCTAGTTCTTGAAATGATCAGAAGTGCCTTTCTTCGTGTCAAAAGACTCCACCAACCCAAGGAAATGCATAGAGGGGAAAGACTGTTGGTTGCCCCAGAATAGACTGGTCATTCCAATATAGAGAATTTATTTTCTTCTATGTGAATGTGCTCTTTCTCTATCTCCTCTCCCTTTAGTACCCAGACGTGTTTTAAAATATAATCAGTCTTAAGTACTTGAGTCTTACTGACTCTCAAAGCAGGACCGCACCTCCTTAAAAACCTACTTTATTTGTTTTCTGTTTTGTTTTCCAAGAAATTAGGCCCCTTATGCCACCCCTTATAACCCTAACCCTAATCATGCTTTGTAAAACATATTTCAACAGAACATGAACAGCTTTGATTCAAAAATAGTTTCTTCAGAATTTTATAGATGGTATCTTTGATCAAACTTTCATTAATCACTCGACAAAAAATCTGGTATTGTTCCTACTAACCCCTACTAACCCCTTTGGGATGTCATACTGAATCCTTTGCCTTAATCAGAAACCCTTGACACTCAATCTTTAGGTTGGAGTTCCACCATTCTGTCAGTCATGCTTGGCTCAATGGTAAACAAAGATATTTTTGTTTCCAGAATTTTCCTATTTTCTTTACTCTTTATAGATGTCCTTGTAAATTTGCTACTGATTTTCATTTTTGTTCTGTCATAACTCCCTCAATGATCTCAGTTTTTTGTTTGTTTAAGCTCAAATTATATGCAATATTATTCTCTGTTTACAAACCTTCTTCAAGTTGACTTTTGGAGACTTGGCTTCTTTAAGAAGAAGCCAATACATACATACATATATAATACATATATTAAAATACATATATATACACTAAAAACATATCCAGTGTGTATGTACATGCATACATATATAACACATGTATTAAAATACACACATATGCACACTAAATACATATTTAGAATATTAATCTAATTTTTAGATTAACATATAACCCTAATCATTTGATTCTAAGTAGATTTTACAATATTCCTGAGAGTATCAAAAGGCAAAAAAACTGAAGAAGGAAGAGACTCAGATGGAAGAAAAATATCTCCATGGTGGAAAACCAGTCTGCTCTGTGTGTATGTGTGTGTGCGTGTGTAAATCAAATACATAAATATGTGTGTATACATATACATATATACATAAAGATACATATACATGTATATGTTTATACATATATATACATATTTCTAAAATACTTAGTAAACATCATACCAAGCACACACATCCTAGAAAGGAAAAAAAAATCAATGAAATTTTTATTGTCAAGTTTCTCACAATCAAACAAAAGATATATACAATAAAGTAAAATATATCTATAATAAATCTTGTTTTATATGAATAAAGGACTTTGGGAGCACAGAAACAAGTGTATTTACTTATTGCTGAAGAATCTGAAGTTGGATTTGCTAGGTCATAAAGGATTAGAGCGTTTCACCAAGGAAAGATTAGAAGATGAGCAAGAAACAGAGGCAGAAATATACAGAATGAAGAGGTAACAAGTACTGAAGGAACAGAGATTTTACTTTGGTTGATGGCAAGGTATGAGGACAGTAAAGTAAGGTTGGGACCAGGTTATGAAGGTCTTTGAATGTCTTCTTAAGATCTCACTTTATTTTGAAAACAACTGAACTCTATAAAGTTAAATGGAGAAATGAAATCAGTTATTTATATTTTAAACTTATAATTTGGGCTTAAGGGTACATTAAGAATGAGAAGGACAGAAAAATCAAGGATAGTTAATCAGTTGATCAATCAGGCCTTCAAACAAATCAATAGCAGAATTGATGCTAATGATTATAAAGGTCTGTTCTAGACTAATTTCAATGTGAGGGAGAAATTTACAGAAGACATTTTAAAAGTAGAATCTATTGGGTTTAGTGAGCAACTGATTGCGAGGAATGGAAGGAAAAGAGGAGGCAAATAGGGTCTGAGATTTGGGGTTGGGTGATTGGATGTGGGCAGTGTCATAATCCAAAATTGAATAAACAAGAAGAGAAACATATTTTGGAAAAGAGACGTTCTTAGAGGACACTCAAGTGTACATTTGCAGGACAAAGTTAGAGTTCCAGGGGAAGTTACACCTGGAAAAATGGATAAAGTCACTAGTGAGGGCAAGCATATAGAAGTAAAAAAAAAAAAGCCAAATATTAAATCCTGAAAGGTCATTACATCAAAGGGAGATGGACAAGCAGGGCCATGGAGAGCCTGGAAAGCAGATTCAGGTGGGTGGAGAGGCAGAGAAAAGGTGCAATAGAAACCAACAGGAAAGGAGTTGCAAAAAGTAGAGAAGGCCAAAGTGTCAGGGTTTCCCAAGAAAAGACATGTCAGTACCAAAGCACTAGGAGTTTGAGAGGGCAATTGTAGAAAGTAAGCAAGTTAGATTCCCAGTAGCACACTGAAGAGGAGCAGGGAATGAAGCACAAGACCTAAAGCAGAGGGCCTATGTGACTTAAGGAGAACAGAAGGATTCGGGGACAATTTTTAAATGTCGTAGAGAACATAATTTAAATTTTAAGGCCTAGAACTTGTCATTATGAAGTCTAAAAACATACAGACCTTGTCTTCCATATAACAATCTCCTACTTCATTTAGGATTGCCTTAAATCCTGCCATGTGTAAGCTGTCGATTAAGACACTTTTTATTGATCATGCACAATTTATCTCTCCTGACCATGGTGTTTCAACCAGTGGAAAGAACATAGTCTCACAGTAAATTGGGGTGTTAGAATTTGGACAAATTTAACTGTGAATCAACATCAACTTTGAGGATATCGGGTATGGGGGGCACTGATGAGGAAGTCAACCACAAATCCCAAATCCTTGGCAGAAGATAAGCCAATGAAAAAAAGACTAGAAAAAGGTATTAAGGAGGACAAGAGTCCCGGGAAGAGTATGAGAACACTAAAGAAAGAGAATGTTTCCAAAAAAGAGATAAACAATATAGCGGGAATGAAAAGAGTCTTCGTGATTTGAGATGAGAACATTATCTAGACTTTGAAAGAAGACTTTCAGTAGAATGATGAAGCAGAGACCAGACTTGGAGCACAAACAGAAGGTAAGGTATTAATGTTCTCAATCAAAAAAAATTAACAATGCAGTAAGTAATTTATCTTCTACATACAATGAAGTTTTATATATAATGTGTCCTATATATATTATTTTATATACATTTTATATATATAGTGTAGATGTGTCTATATACCTATATGCGTATATACATATGTGTGTATATTTAAGATGTGTTGCTCTTAAAGGATTGATTGATTAGGGTTTGATTAGGGTTGTTTTTTTTTTTTTTCATAATTACGAACTTGAGAATTATCTTTTCATCCCAATGTGAATTGTTACATGTGCCAATTATAGGCAAATGAGGATAAATTTATTGTTTTTAGAAGGATTATATATCAGTTTCTATGATGCTTCTTGATATATAAGTACATTTCATTCCCTTCTCTATCTCTCTGTCTCTCCCCCCACCCACAGTGGAATGGAGCATGTCTAAAGACTTTTGTCCTTTGGCTGGTGAAATCATCATGGAAAACCTGCAGACCCTGAGATGCACGATCACAGGGCTTACAACGGTAAATGCCAAATCCTCCTTTTAGACTTCCTATTTGCCTGTGCCTGATGTTTGTGCAGGGATTTTGGTAGCAAATGCATACTCTGGAAACAACAGCCAACACCCAGTCCTCTGGCAACAACTGCCACTCGTTAAGCGTGATATGTCTGGTATCCATAATCTGAACTCCACAAAGGAGTGAGCAAACAGCATGAACCACTTTGTAAGCTGCCATGTTCTACGGAGATCAGAAAAAGACTGGCCTCATGCAAGCCTTGAAAGCTGCTGCTCTCTGGATCACAATCTAATCTTCAGGGGGGATCAAAGGCTCTGAGAGATCCAATTTTGACTCCCTGTCTGATGGTAAAAATAACAGCCTCATCTAACCCTCACCCCCACAGCCTCAGTTGAGATCAGTCATCAATTGGAGTCACACAATTTCCTGAGAGAAATCCTTTCCCTTGATTTAAAAAAAAAATCTGTCCAAATATGCTTTCACAAAAAAAAAAAAAAGAAACTATATATGGTGGCGCTACATTTCTCAGTAACCTGAACCAATTTAAACTGTGAATGAAAAACTGAAACTATGCTTATTTGTTCAACCAATATAAACTCAGAAAGTTAATTATTTAGAGAACTATAAACCATTTAAACATACAAAATACAAAAACTAAAAACACTTAGTGAGTCAGTTCAAACTGCAAGAAATCCTGTATTTCCTCCAATGAATAAAATGCAACAAAACTAGATCATCAAAATCTTTTTTAATCAAAAATTTTAAACTTAAATCAAACTGATTACATATATATATGCATATATATATATATATATATATATATACACACACACATACACATTTTTTGTTCAATTCAAATAATTAATAGCTTGGGACTTTCATCTGAGTGAGAAAGAATTTTTTTATTGTTTTTCTAAAAGGTTAATCAATTGAAAGTTATGTATAACATTTAATATGAAACCCAGCATTAAAAGGCTCTATTAGATTGCATCTCTTCAAGTTTGAACCAGCTTATTATAATAGAATTCTTGGTGGTTAGGTCACCACCACAGAATCGCGACCTTTAGGCCTAATCACATGTCTACACCAGAGGCCAAAACTGTGTATTACCAGAGCAAACAAACCCCCGAGTGGGTGGCCCCCAGAGATGCTATCAGCAGAATACTGATTCCCAACCCTATGGCTCACATGATGGAAGGGCGCCAGAAGAGAACCCTAGGGAATTTCCATTGCTCAAAAGAAAAAGTGATATGGTAATAAAAATGGAAAACTCTCCATAGAGAGTTTCTCTAATATTTGAACTAATTTTTATAGGGATTAAGTTTTTCCACTTGGTCGTCCAATGAGAGCAATGCAGACACTATCCTCATCACATAAAAGCCTGGAAGTAGATTTACACTTTCACAGAATCGCCATAACCTTGAGGTAAATAGAAACCCATTTTTAATGTTAAAATAATTAACTTTATAATATGGTAAGGCCAACATTATTAAATCCCTAGCAAGGCCTCTACAAAGATATGCTATTTTTTTTTAACTGCAAACACCATTTTGCAATTTTTGCAAGCTATGTCTTATCAAATCTGGCTTCTAAAATGCCCCTTTGGGTTCATGAAGGGAAAAAGTTCTTCAAAGCAAAAATGTAAAAGCATACAAAGCATTTTAAAAGATTGTAAGCAAACCAAAACAACCCCTTAATTCTTCATGTGATAAGACATTAAGAATATAAACCTTTTTTAATAAAGGCTAATATTGAAATAATATGAAATAATTACTTTTTAAAATGTGTGAATGAGTAAAGAATATTAATCACAGCATTATTTACTGTGCCATAAAATGTGAGAATTACCTAAATGTCCACCAATGAGGAATTGGTTAAATGATGGCATTCACCTACTATGAAATACTACAAAAGCACTTAAAGAAAATATCAAAATCAACAAACAACTACGAACCAGAGATACTCTATGGGGGATGGGGGCGGGGAAAGGAGGGATTGGGGTCAAAATAAGGGGGTTGCAATTGTATGGGGAATATAAAAATAAAATTAAAAAATAAAAATTAAAAAAGAATGCAGCAGACCTCTGATGTAGTAATCTGAACAGATATTTGTTATAATTTACTAATTTACAAAGCAAATTGATTGGCTAAAAAAGGTAAGATGGTTATGGTTGTTATCTCTGGGGAGAAAGAGGTGAAGGTGCGAAATTGCAATTTTTGGTAAGCTTTGTAGAATGGTGTGACGTTCCTAATATCACCTCAATTAAAATAAATTGATTCAAGAAATTTTAAAAGTAACAATTGTATAATAATTTTATAAATGGGGGCAAGTAATAGTAATTTTAATATTTCAATTTTTAAAAAAAAGCATAAAAAAGCTAAGAGCATCACAAATATGTTTATTATCACATATAAACATAATGGTCTGGATAAGCTAGAAAGCAAAAGTATGAGTAGTGGATTTCTCAAGGGAAGTATCATGAGTTAATCAGACACAGGAATCTGCTTCTAGGATAAAAGTGATTAAGTTAAACTCCTGATGCATCATTTTCTCTATTTCAATACTTCGCAGGGCCAACAGTATTTTGTTCAAGTCTCAGCTTATAACATGAAAGGATGGGGAGCTGCCCAGACCACGACACCAGCATACGCCTCTCCTTCTAGTAGGTGGTGGCTGTGAACGCTCTTAAATCTGTCATCGGGCTCCAACTCCACCTCCATGCTCAGGATACCACTGCCATGCCTTCCCCACTGCTTGGGACTAGCAAGATCTCTTCGGGATAACATCTGGGCCACCTAATGAATGATTTCTTTGCTGAAATGTTCCCCTGGGAGGCAACTCAGTGGCATGAAAGGAGAGGGAATTTCACAACAACAATTCCAAATTTGGTTCCCATTGTACCTTTAATTAATTCAGGGGTCTTGAAGTTACTTAAACTTTCTGATTATTGATTCAATATCTGTAGAATGGGTCTCACCGTACGCTTTCCCAGGTTTCATGGGGATTTACTGAAACAACATGGTGGGAATGGCTGATTCAAAACACACAGTTTTTTTTAGCTTTCATCTCTTCTTCACCCACAGTGGTTACATCCACATCAATTTGAAGACAATGAAATATAGCAAATCTTACTTATATGACATTCTGTCAGAAGAAAATGTTTCTTACTAATAGGTACTTTTCTACACTCTGCCACAAGTAATCTATATTTATAGTGGTGGCTGAAAAAACAACAGCAAAAGTCTCATAATTATTTGAAGATTAATAATTTATGCCTGGTATATTAGATAACTCTATTAACCAAAAATTTTAATTAACCAGAAGAAACATCTCCAGACAAGTCATATATTTTTCTGCATAATTACCCTATTACTCTGAATTGTATTTTAATTTTTTAAAAATCTTCATTAATGTGATAGTTTAAAATGGTATCATGTTTTCTTGGTAGAATGCAAACTGCTACATCCTTTGTGGTACACAATTAGCCATATTACACCAACTGTCATCATAAGAACATTTGTTTCTTTTTTACCCCACATTACACACCAGACAACAGACAATTATGTGCAAATATATATACTGTAGTAATACACTGATAAAGTGAAATATCACATATAGTGGGGAAAGCAAATATCCAATATTAAGTTAATGGTTAAATAAATGTATGAAATATACATATCCATACCATAAAAGCAAACGCAAGAATTAAAAATGGAGCCAATCTTATGGGGCTGGGGGGCAGGGCAGGGAAGTATGTGTTACTGAAGATGTTCAATAAAAGGGACAGAAAAGCAAAAAAAAAAAAATGCTAATCTCAGCTGACCTGGAGGTGGGGTGGGGGAGACCCACCCCAAATGCATGCCCCCATGCAATCTGCCTGCATTTACTTGTCAATGTCAGATGTTCCAGTTCTATGAATTTCAAATTCTGTCAGACACTCTCCCTCAGAACCCATTTGAAGTGCTTTCTCCAGATGACAAGAGCCACTGTCCAGGGCTGGGAAGAGTCACTTATTACCCAGTAATTAATGTAGCAAATGGCAACATTTTCTAAAATGGCACCTTCAATTAGTAGGGGTATCTGGCAAAAACCTAAAATCCTAACATATCATTATAGTTGTTGCAGACAGACAGGCCATATCACTTGGAAAGAACAATATAAAAATACTCTGGTTCTATTTATAAACAGAGTATGACATTGTGATGTAACATATATCAGTATTCAGATATTTACTAGAGGACAATGTATTCTAACATGACAGAGTAATTGGAAATTTGGTAATATGTTCCAGTAAGCTATAAAACTTTTTCTATATTTTTACAAAAGGCCTTAATGTGTTTTTATAGACTTATGTTATATGGTATGGTACATAATAAGAGAAAAGGACCCAGACAGGCTTGTCTGAGTTACGATCAGGAAAGCCCTGATATCGCCAGTGAATGTAAGCTCTACATTGTGTTGCTATTCAAGTGTCTCATTACCAGAACAGTGAACTGTATTATGTGGCACAATCTGCTCTTTTCCTACCACACTAAGTTTATTCCTGTCAGGTTCCTGATTTCTTAATATATTTTCAATTTTCTCCCTCATCCCTAAAGTCTCCTATTTTATGCAGTCGTCAGAACCTTCCAAACATCTATGAGAAAAAGTCATTCTTTCCAAAAACCTTGGCATCGTGTCCAGAGCTCACTTGGGCTGCAATTTAGCATTAGCAATTTTCTAATGTATCATAAAGTCATCAGCTCAAGCTCACCTCTGATGTAATAGGGTCTGGCTGAAAGAGCCAGGTCCAGTGCTTCTGCCCTCACATGTATGACAGTATTAACACTCATTAGAATGTATTAGCATGTTCAGGGTCACACAGTCATTCCGCCACCCCGAAGTCTTACTCAAGCAAACAGTGTTGCTCATCTTGCCATGAGCAGTTTCAGTGCACTTATCTGACAAATGGAACAAACTCCCAATAGCCTCTGGTGGTCGCGAGAACAAAGTTTATTCTCACTGCACCCAGGTGCCAGGACACTGCAGAAAGGATCAGGGACACTTGGAGTTTGTTTCCCCAAACATTTCTAAATTTCCCAGTAAAACTCCACCTAGCCCATCCTACCTGAACAGCTTCTCAAAGTCACAATGCCACCATTGTGGCATTGTGTTTAGTGAGTGCTTGACTCAAATTATTTCTCTCAAACCTCAAAAACTCACAGAGAAGAAAGCTGACGTAAAGAGAAATTAAGTCACGGTTCCTGACCACAAGGAACAGAGACTACAGAAGGCACCTATGCCAATTCCCTGTCTCCAGAGTTGACCACAACTGAGCCACACCACATAGACTCCAACCAAGTTCTGACCCTCCATCCCAGAAGAAAAAACAAAACAAAACAAAACAAAACAAAAACAAAAGCACCAAAAATATGTCCATGTGTAATGAAATGAGCACTGTATAGGCAGTCATGAAACTTCATTATAGCCCCTTGAGTAATACAGAAATGGAATGATTATTGCTGAGTCTCAGACTTACGAGAGGTAAAAATGGAGAAGGTTACATGGAGATAGGGTAGGAAGGAAGAGGGATGAGAAAATTTCTGAGGCCTCCCTCTTCACAGGGTAATATCTGCTAGGGTAGCAAATGACATCCCCATACTTATTACTTGGGGAGTAAACTCTGCATCAAAGAATTTCCTTCTGTTTGTGTTACTATTTACATAATGCCTGCCATATAACATTGTGCCAGATACCTAATATACCTTTTATTTAATCCTCATCAAAATTCTATAAGATGGGTAGTCTGCTCACTTTCCACATTATGAAGCAGAGGCCCTTGTCTTACAGACACTCTAGGAATCAGAAGAGCCACACCCAGATTTATCTGACTCCAAATCCAGTGTTTTTCTAAGTGTGCTGTACTATTTGGCCTTGGATGCACCAAGGTGGCATGCTTTTACCTGAATTTTAACTGTCGTGGTGTCTGTTTAAGTTTCTGAGCAAGGGTGTCTCCATATTTTAAAATAAATCTAAGGGGAGGGAGATTTGAAATTCATTCAACTAGAATTTAAGCCTCAGATACATTTCTGAACTAACTGACTTTTCTGGGAAAGAATGACTAGCATTTTTAGAGAAAGCATTTCAACTAAGAAGTTCTTTAAGTTGTTGCATTTGAAAGGCTCAGAAAGTAAAACTGGGATGGGGTGGGGGGAGATAGTGGGACGTAGGGATGGGCTATGAAATGATTGACCTACTGAAAAAAAAAAATCAAGAGTTGGAGACAGCAGAATTACAATCTTGACATAAGTCCCATACGGGTTATTACTCTTGATATCATTATAGCCAAATGGAATGAAAATAGAAGGGAGAGAAAAATCTCAGTGGGTATTGCAATTTAAATTTGCCATGTAAGCTAATACTGTATATTTAGAGACTGAGCAGACAGGGTGGTTGGTGGCTCAGAGTATGTGCAGGGGTTGCTGTGCCAGCTAACCAAAGCAGACATTCATTAGAGCAAAATGTAGATTTCCATTTCTTGGCATCTGACATGGGCTCTTTCCTTGGAAAGAAATGTCAATTTGGCCAAAAGTGTGAAACCTACAATAAAAGCATTGGGACTGTGGATTTCATCTAGTCTGCACATTCTCACCCCTTTCTTTCCTATTATGGAAATCCAGTTGAGATTTGGGGTCCAGGGGAGTGGAGAAGTAGCAGGAGAACTGATTAGGACATGAGATGCTGAAAAGGAGGATAAAGAGCTAGAGGAGGGAAAATTTGGTTCCCAAATTCCCTAGGTTTTTTTTTTTTTTTTTTTGACTTTCAATTACCATTTTCTCTTGCTCTAAAACTGCCCAACACAAGGAACCAACCACAATTACTGTTTTGCACAGGGCCCCAAACAATGGCAACTTCCAAGTCCTTGGCACTGCCTGCTCTCTGTGCAAGTGCTGGGTGCTTAGTCACAGTCAGTGGTAGTATGAACAGAACTGGGCTCCAGAGGCAGGGCAGGGAAGAGGCCTCCCCTGCTTTCCCATTTCACTCTGTTTGTTTCTTTTTGTTCAATAGACTGGAAAGACTATGACGACAGAGAGCCCAGACACAAGGGACAGAGTGAAGTTTTGGAAGGTCTGCTGCAGCAGGTCCGGGCCCTTCATCAGCATTATAGTTGCCGGGGTAAGGACAAAAGTCTGCGTTGGGCCATCAACTGAGGCCTCAGTGGCGCCGGTAATTTTAGCAGTTTCCTAACTGGGTCATACCTTCCCATTCATCAGGGAGAGAGAGATATTAATATTGGTACATCTGGAATCACTTTACAGCACTATCTCGTGTTAACCCTTCAGAAAAGACTTGCCTCTCTTCCCTTCTCTCTCACCCTCTCTCCAGGCAGTTTGAAAATAAGCACAAGAAAAACAGCAGCTGCCATAGTTCCCTTTCCTTTGAATCATCGCTTCCCCAAACTCCTCAGTGTGCTGGGTCTTTAGGAGAGTCACCCTCAAAGTTATTACTTCCAAAGAGAATTCCTCTTAGAATCCCCAAGGAAATGCAACTAATTACAACAGCAATACTACTAATAAAACTCTGTGTATATTCGCAGTTAAGTTTACAATGCAGATTCACATTCAGTATCTCCTTTTCATCCTTGTTTTAACAATTAACTCTGAAGCTAAGTGACTTGACCAAGGCCACAATGCAAAAAAAAAAAAATCAAGATTCCGACCTTGGTCTTTAGTCTCCACATCTGTTGCCCTATCACACCTCACTTTTGTCTCCCACCTTTACATAAGGATTGAGCACTGGACTTACTACACCCTAAATTTTAATCTTCCTCTGTACTACAGTTCAGAAGAAAGTAGAGCATACCTTTTCTAGACCTACACACCTATACCCAGGAAATCTCTGAGAAGCTTTTCAAACTTTCTCTTCTACTCAAACTGTTCCGATGGGACAGAGTCAGGTTTCTGATCTGTGCAATGGTTCGTGGAACAGGCACTTAGTTTTATTTGGAGAATTAAAGCCTCCATAAAGTTTTCATTTTCCATGCTCCTTTACCCATCAGATCTCCAACTGCATTGCACTCCCTAGATTGAGGGCACTAGACGGCCAATTAGGTAAGAAATCTTTGGTTGAAATTGAGAGATGCTAGCTGAGTTTTAACTAGTTTAAAGAAATTGTTCCTACATTAGCAAATGATGTTCCTAATGAATAGATCGCTACAGCAAATGCCTTCAGAAATGTCAGCTATAGCTAGAAATAAGGACAAAAGTTTGCAAGAATATAATATTCTTTTAATGAAAGGGTGATTAGGAGATGTAAATATGCATTGAGAGGGAAACCCAAGTGGGGTATCATTCCAGATCTCCAGAAGACCAGGGCCTTCAACATTCTACATTGACAAGAGAACACCTAGTTCCCAAGGTCCACTCCCAGGCCAGGCATTCTGTCTACGCTCCTTTCTCCTCTTAGTCCCCCACTGCCCCCCCCATCCTTTCCCTGTCAACTGGCTGTTGTGTGCAGGTAAAGATAATAAAACAATTGCATAGATTGATTCTTTGCAATTCATAAGCTTTGTGTTTGGTCTTTATCAGAGGAGAAGATAAAAGTACTGTGAGAATGACGGACTGTTTTTTACATTATCTGAGGATTTAGATGTTCTTCCCAATACTGCAAGATTACTATCCAATAATCAAGAAACAATGGTCTAGACAGTCCAATTATTTCTACAGTTTCAGTTTTTAACATAAACATGTATCTCCTCCATAGGAATGTAAATATGTATAGAATAGCAGGAAATATTTAATTAAGACATAAGGTAGAATTTCCCAAAAAGAAGGATTTATCTTAGATTGACATATACTCACTCTGGGCACTGAAATAGTACCCAAAGTATGACCCAAATAACAGTGGTTCTATATGATGCTCCGCTGAAAGAGGGTCTCTGGTCAAGTAAGTTTGGAAAATGTTGCATTATACATCCCTTTTAGAAATATAAGATTTATTTTAAAATGTTAAGGATGCTGGGCCTCCCCTGGTGGCGCAGCGGTTGAGTGCTAGACTGCGAAGCTGCCCGCAGCCTCTGCAGCGCCAGTTCAATCCCCGGCCGGCAGCGAGGGTCCCACATGGTGCGCAGACCTCTCCTGCTGCCCGCTGCTCCCCTCAGCAGTGTATTTCGTCAGTCTGCCTGTTCTGTTCCCCACTCTGGCTCTGGTGAATTCTCTCACCCTCTCCGCGCATCTGACTGTACCCAATGCTTGTGTAAATGAATAAATAAATCTTAAATAAAAATGCTAAGGATGCTGATAAAGAGACATTTTTGAATTTGGTTAACCAAATGCTTTCCAAACATATTTGGTCACTGCTAAATTTTTTTCACAGAATTAGTGTTTCTAGGCACAAACTTTGGGAAATGCTGACCTATGATATGCCAAGATAAAAGAAATGACTGTGCACAAAAGGGATGATTTTAAGATGATTTAACACACTCTAAAAGAATAAGCAAAGGATAATTAACTATTTTATAGGGAAAATGACAAAATTATTACTTAAAATACTCAACTACATTGAGATATTATGTGGTTTATTAAAAACATAAACACAAATGATACAAATAAAATATAAAATTCTACTGCTTACTAGCTGCATATTCTTGAGAAAAGCATTTTCTCAAGCCATAGCTCTTCCATCAGAAAAATCAGCATAGTAGTATCTATCTTTCATGACAGTTTAGGAGGATTAAAAATCAGATTGTGGATCAACTCACCTAGCATAATGTAGGTACTTCACAAACTGGAGCTTATTTTTCTTCCAGGTGAAGAATGGAGCTGTTCTCTATCCTTAGCACTCAAATAAAATGTTCTAGAATTAGAGTGTAACATTGATGTCACTGTAATGAGGCTGAGTACTCAATAAATACACAGCATATTGCAAATGCAGAAATCAAAGAAAAATCCCTTTAAGAAAGGTACCAAAACCCATATTGATTTCTGTATTTTGACTAAGGAACTTGTTACAGTTAACCTGCACAGTCAGTACCAGGATGGAAATTCAATGGCAATATGTTGACCAATCTTTATTGTTCACACAGTTAAAGCCCTGACATACATGATGAATTATAAAGAAGCCAGCTGTGTTCACATCAACGATATGGTACAGGAGTGAATTTCAATTATCATCCAATTTTTCAACTGGCAAACATTAATTGAAACACTGTCTACCATGTATCAGGTGTAAGACATACCAATAAAAAAAACTCTATGTTTTAAGCACTGTATTAGAAGTGAAAAAAACTAAGTATTACTCCAAAGTCCTGAACCAAGCAAAGATAATCTAGAAGGCATGGCAGTTCTCAGAAGAAAAGTGAGCTTAGACAATGTATTGGTCAAAATGGTTTATATCATGCTGTAGTAACAAATGATCCCCAAGGTATTTATTTCCCCTAAGTTCTTTATGTCTATATTGGCTGTCCTTTTATGTTGTCATTATCCTCTCTCTAGAAATACTGGCCAGCACTGTTGGGAGATGGAAAATAAATTCTTAGATGGGCAAAAGTTTATATATGTCATGTGCACTCAAAACTCATTGGCCGGAACCACTTACAAGACCCCACTAACCACAGGGACTCTTGGAAGTTTGATTGCATCATGACCAGAATGGAGACCTGGGCTATTTAGCATTTGCAGAGCCCCTTCCCCAACTGGCAGTAGCATCTCTCATTTTTCTCTATTTTTCAGTTTAATTGTCATTTCTATTAAAGTTTTATGTGACTATACTGTGAAACTGCCCATATATGTTGAAATCCACACTGGATATTTACTAGATCTGTGGCCTGTAGCAAGTTGCCTACCCTCTTTATGACTCACTTTGCTCATCTATTAAATGCAGATAATAATTGTGTATATGTATACACACACACCTGTTAGCCATTTTTAAGGACTGAAAAACTTAAAGTGAGTAAAATAATTACAAGAGCCTTATTATTTAAAAAAATTATAATTCCTGCCATTCTCTATTTTCAAATTCCCAAAAGGTTCAACTGTTTTAGCCAATTCTTTTGATACTTTCTCTATATTGCTAAATAGCATGTTTATGTTTATATTATTAATTCTTGATTTCTTTTTCATTTTTAGGTATTATCTCACTAAGGAAGATTTTGATTTATCTCCTTTTTATCCTTCTACCCTCTTACATATATATATAAAACTACCTTCTCATCTTCCTAAAATATATGTTGTAACTTTAGTAAGATCAATATTTATTACTAATAATGATCATGTAAATTCTTTGATTAGTTTGCTTTCCTGGATTTTTTTTTTTGTTTTCCCTGTTAATTTATAATCATCTCATGTTGTACAATTGCTTTTCTATGTGATTTTAATTAATTAATCTCCTTGCTCTTCTCCAATTATATCAATTTATCTCAGTACAATCAAATGCATTAGTAATGTTTCAACTGCATCTTCTTAAAGAAACCTTTCATGGAGCCCTCTGGCCTGCCCTTGTCGAGGCTGGTGACTGGCTGCCTCTGTGTCTGGTGCACAGCTGTCACCCTCGGATCTCCTTTCATTGCCATATTGAGGACTCTTCTTGCCATTCTTCAATATTGGGTTTCTTTTTTTAAATCCATGTCCTCCTTTTTCTTGGTTAGTCCCACATTTTGGTGGAACTTTTCCTCTAGTAGCTTCCTGAGAAGCTACTTGAGAGCTAATTTTTTGATACACTGGATGCCTAGAGATGTGTCTGTTCTATTTAATATTCATGCAAGGATTGGGATAAGTATAGAATTCTCAAAATAAGGTTCCTTGATTTTGAAGGCATTGTTTAAATATTTGGCTAGCTTTCAATTCTGAGAAATCTGATGCAATTCTACATCTAGAGTTTATGCACAATTTCTTTCTTACTCTGGAAGGTTTTTAATTTTCTTTGAAAATCTAGTATACCAAAAGTTCACTGATATGTGCCTTAGTGTAGGTCTATTTTTGTTTGTTGTGCTGGGCACTTGGAAAGCTGTCTCAATATGGACACTTATATCCTTGAATTATGGGCTATTTTCTTAAATTATTTCTTTAACTATTTCTTCTCATCTTTTTCCTCTGTGCTCTCTTATGAGAACTCTTGCTATTCCATATTGAACCTCCCAGACTAACCCTTTAACTTTATTTTTCTTTTATCCCCTCTCCTACTTTCCATTTCCATGTTCTTTTTGCTCTACTTTCTTGGAGATATCCCCCACTTTATTTTCTAGGTCTTCTACTGAGTTTTTCAGTTTTTGAATAACAATTTTTTTTTTTATTTCCTGTGTTCTCTTTTGTGCTCTGAATGTTTCTTTTGTAGACTCTTATCCTTTTTACAAGGAGCAATGACTTTTCTTATTTCTTGGGCTATTAATGATAAGCTTTGCTTAATTTTATATTTTCTTTTCTCAGCATAATTTGCCATCTAAATTGCTCTTTCATTTATTTGTCTTTTAAATCTTTCTTTAGACATTTCTCACAACCACCTGGTGATCCTTGGTTATCTCCTCAGATTGAAGAGATTGGAACATGGATAGGCTCTTTATTTATAGGTTTTACTGCAGAGTGATTAGCATGAGCTTTTCTTTAAGAAACTGATAGTCAATCTCAGATTCTTTAGGCTGTTCAGAGTCTCCAGACACTTTTCTTCCAGTGTCCTGTCAGGACAGTATATACTTGAGTACTATTGTTCTGAGAACCCAAGGGGGAATCATTCCATATGGGAAACTTTCATTTAATCTACCTGTTTTGAATATAGTACCACCCTCCTCCTGTGTTCATAACTTCACTCTGTGTCTCCCACTCTAGAGACCTCTGTTTTTATACTTTTCAGAGAATAAGCCATTCCTTTTCTCCTACAGTGGGGAAGGAATATTTGTCCAACGATGCAAGGTAGATGTGAAGATCTAGAAGTTCAGTTGCTTTTTAAACAAACAACAAGTTCCCCCAATTTCAGCTCCATATTCACCCCCTACATCAGTAGTATAAGACACCCATGGGGTGAATCAGGTTACTTCTCAGCTTTCTCCACTGCTGGCTTAGGATTCATCTTTCTCATGTCTGCTAAATCCATCTGTCCATCTGCTTTCCAGCTACCAAAATTCACTTTCTTTTGTCCCCTTTCCCATCTCTTTGTCTCATAGATCTATTTAATTTCATTTTTTTCTTAACTAGTGTATTCTGGTTTCAGTGAGGTATTGGGAGAGTGGTATGTGATGAATATGTTCAATATGCTGCCTTTAACCGGAAATCCCAGCAGCATCATTTTGAAGCAGGTTATGATTAGCCAAATTCATGTTCAAGTCAGAAAAAAATGTGCTTTTTCTTTGTTTTGCCAGGAATAACCATTACTAGCACAATTTGGAGCTGGCACATAGGCTTGCTTTAGTCAGCTCATTCCCAACTGCCTTTATAGAATCACACAGAGTCACACTGGACCTCGGGTTTCTGCACCTAGTGGCTGTGATACAGGCCATGTTCTCTTCCCCAGCAACATGAGTTTGGTGATGATTGCAACAACCTCAGTTTCCCTTCCTTACATACAAGATGAAAGTTTAAATCAGTGATCATGTTGTTCGGCTCTGTGGAGCACAGTTTACAACGACATTTTAGGAAGTCCACTGCTTTTATCAGTGAGACCTCCAGGTTTTAATAGAAGCAGAGGGTGATTTGCTCACCACTGTAGCTACAGAGCCTTGCACATAGTAGTGCCCCAATATTTATTTGTCCAGTGGATGAATGTCACAGGTTTTCCAGATACTGACTTTTGGTTCTCTTGGGCAATCCATAATAATTTCTCAGTCTCAGTTTCTTCTTCTGAATGATAGCCAACACTTGCTTACAACTATTTTTGCAAGCCAATATATATATAGTGGGAAAAAATTGTCACAAGGTACTAGCAGTGTGTGAAAGTGGCAAGAGAATATGGGTGGGGGTTTATTCTTTTCTATTCTCCAGACTTTGTATAATACATCTATTCATTTTTTAATGAAAAAAAAAAAACTTAGTGGAATACACAGACTAATAAGAAGAGTTTGGCCAGCACTGAGAAGTGTGTAAATGTTAAAAGATAATAGGAGTAGAGGAGCAAGGAGTTGATTCCATTTCTTTTTATCTCATCTTACAACAAATCACTTATCTAGAAAGTACAAATAAAACACCCAAGAGATTTCCTCTTGTTATCAATATTATTCATCTTCAAAATTTTGAAGGAATTGAATATTCATTAAGTTAACTGCCAGCACTTCAGATATAGGAACTTCTTGTGGGAATGATCAGCTGAATACGTAAATGAAACTGAATATAACTGACCCTGAGAGGACAAGAGACTGGAAGGAAGGAGGGTGGGGAGAAGATATTGGGAGTGTTGTACCAATAGAATTTACACTGTCTTTTTTGCTGTGTTCCAGAAAGTTCAAAATTACAAACCACTGGCCGCAAGCAGTCAGTCTCCAGGAGTCTGAAACACCTATTCCATTCCTCAAACAAGTTTGTGAAAACCTTAAAACGGTGGGTTCTGTGTCATTTATGGGGAAGCCTGAACTCCTCAGGGACCAACTGGTTTTGAATAGAAATTTGAATAGAAGTTTCTCTTTGTTATTGAAAAAATATGAATTGCACTCTTCTCCTGATTATTTGGGAAAGATAGTAATTTCTCTGAGTTCTAGCCAGTGAACTTGTGACAGCAAGACTATGCTCATAATATATCTTAAATTATCTTTTATCATGTTGAAATTTTTTTGCTATAATTCTGGCTGGATAGAAGAGATGGTTGAGGACAATTTTTCTTTTACTTTTTCTTTTTAGGGGACTCTACATAGCTGTTATATTTTATTACAAAGACAATATGTTAGTCACCAATGAAGATCAAATACCGATTGTTGAAATAGATGACTCTCATACCAGTTCCATTACACAAGATTTTCTGTGGTTCACAAAGGTATACTGGGTTCGGATTTAATTTTTCCCCACTTTGCACCAATGTTACTGTACATAAATCTCTGAAACCTTAGTTGAGGGATCTCCAGTGATCAAAGTATTGGGGTGGGCATAAATTATCTCAAAGGTCTCTTTCAGGCCTGATATGCCTTCTGTCATTAAAAACCGCCAACGTAGTGTCTACACTACATTTTCAAAGCAAAGAAGCTTGCATCCTGTCAGATTGTGTCTCCACTATTCTGAGTTATGGGATCATTTGGCAAAGACTAAAATGTGGATCTGACTGTTTCATTAGCATTCAGATCTTTTTCCAATTGGACGGAGATCAAAAAGTTGTTTCGTGTGTATCTGAAAATGGACTGGAGAACAAACATCAGGGGTCAGGTTTCCTTCTCCCTGCTTTGCTTTGATGCCACAACCTAAATCATGTACTGGCTTGGACGCTGATATGACCGCGTGACTTCTTTTGCAGCTGTCTTGTATGTGGGAAGATATAAGGTGGTTGAGGCAAAGTGTACCTATCTCCATGTCTTCATCCACAGTACTGCAAACTCGGCAGAAGATGCTCGCAGCAACAGCCCAGCTACAGGTGAGGGCCAGGTTTCAACCCAGACCCCCAAGGAAATTTTAGAAAAACTTGATCAATTCAGTTACCAGCCCCACGTGGAAAAAAAAAGGGGGGGTAGTTTCCTTCCTCTTTCAGATCCCTAAGCATATAAATGCTTCCTGGACAGTGTGAGTTGCACAACTGCTCACAAGAGAATTGTGCTTTTGGCAGTTTCCTTAAGAGTCGAGGAGTGACCCCTAAACAAGGAGTGAAGAGACTTATTCCATATTTGATATTAATCAGTCAGCCCATTTCTCCTTTCTGGGCCTCAGTTTCATTACTTGGAAAATAAGAGTTGACCCAATCACTTTAAGAACTCTTGCTGCTCTGGTGCCCTGTGTAGCTAAGAATGTAAGGACATAGAGAGAGACCCTAGGGTATTTGGAAGTTTCTTGGCTTAATGCTTTTAGTAAAGCACAGGCAATTGCATACATTTTTGCTTACCCTGAAAAAAAGTTTAAAATCTTATCTTTAATCTTGAATGCATTCATCCTCCCATAGTCCATCAGATCAGATCTAAAAACCCTATAAGAAGCTTTATAGGTTACAGAGCTCCTTGTAGAAATGACATTGAACTCTTACCAAGCTCTTCTGGGTTTTCCATTCATTGTTTTTTGGTATTAACTGAATCTGTGGTTCTTAGTTACATGGAACTGAGGCTTTAAGAGATCACTGAACTTCAATTAGTGATGGCTGTATACCTACAACGCTGTCAGTTGCTCATCCCCAGAAATACACATAATTGGACTCTATGTGATCTCTGTTTGGTCAAGTCATACCAATCAAGGCATAAAAATAAGGTTATAGTAACAACAACAAAAAATTCTATGGTTTCATCACTACCTACAATTAGAGGAACTTCATTTCTTGACCCATACAATAACAATTCAACTCCCTGCAATAATAATTATTGTATTGCTATTATAATTAACTCTTAAAAGTCTTACTCCTTTTGTACTGTGCTCCAGTGCACAGGCAGTTTACTTCAACATCTTCAGAGATTTTAGCAAACCGAGCTCTCCCTTTCAACTCTTCCTGAATACAGAATCTTCTCCCTCAACTCAAGAAGTTCTTGGAGCTGAGCTGTGATGATGTTCCTGAATTCAAAGTGCCCCTTCTTTTCATCACTGACTACTTTAAGTTGGACCAAGTTCTGTACCTCAACTGTTCTTTCTTTAAATTTAATTCCCAGGAAATTCCTTGATCCCTCAGTCAATTTCTTTACTGAGGGACTCAGGCTTCTTAATGGACCCTCCCATCTTATAGCCCATCTTATAGCCCAGACATGCTTGGATCACTGACTGCACAACCTTAAAGACTTTAGTGGGACTCTTTATTATATGATAATTGGAAGCTTCCTAGAATACTCATTTGACACCAGTAAGATGAAAATGATCAAGTTGTCACAACCCAGTGCAACTCAATGCTGAGGGGCTTGAGGAAAGACATTGTGGTCAGTATTTCCCTCCTCGACTATTCCCTTTACAATAGTTCTTGGATTTTCTCAGTCCCAAATGAGCTTATCCCCCCACTTTTCATAATGCTTAGATTTTTTGGCCTGTCATAATAACTCCTTTGAAAAATGGCTAGATTTCTGGCCACTGTCTCTCTCCATATTATTTATTTGGAAAAACCCTAAGACCAGATGAATCTAACACATCTACACTGGAGTAGTTGCACTTTGCTGCAGAAAAATTACAAAAGGCAGCTGACTGGTTTTATGTTAAACCCATGCCTACAATTCCCACATATAATGTTACCTAGTGGTCCCATTTCATTTCTCTACGAAATTCTCTGTAAGGCAACTATTTAAGGCCTCTCCATTCTCCCACATTCCTTTTTCTCCCCCACATCAGGGGATGATGTCACTGTAAAATTCATTAAGAAAATAAATGGGAATTGATTATTTTTCCACCCACAAATTTAAAAACCTTGCTTTGACTCTACCTTCTCTTTCCTCCTTTTCCAATAGCCTTACGTCTACCAAAGGCTCACCCCTTCATATGTGCTCTCCACCCCAATTCTTCCTTCCTTATATTTAAACATTCTGAAGTCTCTCCAGTGTAACCTTCTTCAAATCCCTTCTTCAATCCCACATGCCCCTTCAGTTACAAAACTCTCTTCTCTTCCTTACACCCACATTTCTTGTAAGAGTTGTCCACATTCTCCTTCTCCATTTAGTTCCTCAATTCTCATTTAGTTCTCTGCCTTAGCCCTTGTTTTTGCTACTAGCACACTTACAAAACTGCACTGCATAAAACCATCACCAGTAATGAAAGGCAAGTGATCTTCATGAACATTGAGTTTCAGGGACCCCCCACCTTGCATGAGCTCCCAAAGTGTGGGAGCCATACAATATTTTAGGTGAGAAGGTAAAGAGTGCTACAATCAAAAAACATTTCTGATAAATTATCTTAAGAAATCTCAGGGGGGTAGGGAACCCGAATTCCAAATACTCCAGTTTTGGGGGTGGGAGGGGATTTCCTTTCTCATTCTAAATAGTTGCTTTTACAAGTAACTTCTCTAGTTGTAGTTTTGTATTCTTGTCTTATAGAGGGTTCCAAAACTATATGACTCAGGTTCTATAAAACCTGAATCTAACCTCACCAAGAATTCAGTTTCATTAAATCCAACACTTTCGTTTTTTTAATCTATTTTTTTGTTTTTATTTTTTAATATATTTTATATAATTCTTACATTATTTTTTCATTTTTGCACAATGTATACATTTTCATTTTGTTTATATTCCCCATACAATTCCCACCCCCTTTATTTTGACCTTAATCCCTCTTCTCCTCTCCCCGCCCCCATAGTGTGTCTCTGGTTTATAGTTGCTTGGTGATTTTGATTTTTTCTTTATTATAATTTGTCTTTTTCCTGGTCCCTTGTTTAGGTTTTCTAAATTCCTGCTATGAGTGAGACCATCCAGTATTTTTCTTTTTCTTTCTGGCTTATTTTGCTGAATATGATCCCTTCCAACTCCACCCATGTTGCTGCAAATTGCATGAGTATCTTTTTTGAATGCTGAGTAATATTCCATTGTGTATATATGCCACATCTTCTTGATCAAATCATCTATTTGAGGCATTTGGGTTGTTTCCATAGCTTAGCTATTGTCAATAGTGCTGCTATAAACATAGGGGTGCAGGTGCCCTTTTGAATTAATGTTTCTGTGTCCTTTGGGTAAATACCTAGGAGTGGAATTGCTGGATCATATGGAAGCTCTATTTTTAGTAGGTTGAGGAATCTCCATACAGCTTTCCATAGTGATGAGACCATTTGGCACTCCCACCAGCAGTGCAGGAGAGTTCCAACAGACACTTTTAAATCTCCTTTGCACTTGACATTTCAGCAGTGTTTGGTAACTGGTCCCACTCTCCCTTTCAAACTGACACATCCCCTGACTTCCATGATTCCACACTTTGCAGATTGTCTTCCAGCTTCCTAGCCTGTCCTTTTGAGTCTCTTTTGCTAGCTCACATGCTGTTTATATTGCTTAGAATTCTCCTCTTCTTCTTCTTCTTTCCCTTTCTAATTCCTACACATCCTCCAGGTAGAAGCTTTAGTTTTTCTCCTCCTCATAGCAACTTTTATTCTTCATTATGAATGGAGGTGACAATCCCATTAACTAATTATTTGTATCATCATTTGTTTATTGACTTGCTTGGACTGTGAGTTCCCACATTGCAGGAATGTATACATCTTGGTAGCTACTACATCTCCCTTGCCTGGCATGTGGCAGAACCTCAGTAAATACTGGTTGGCTGGATAAATAAATGCATTTGTTCATCCAATCCCTGCATCCCAAAAATCATATTTGCAGGTATGCTTTCTAACCATAGGTATAGGGATCACAGAACTGTACGTCATTCCATGGTTGCAACCTGGATAGTGGTCCAATCTTGCCTGGTGACCAGAACCTCATAGTCCCAATAGTTACCTTTACAGTGCCCATCAAAGACCAGAACGCTTTCTGCATTCCCTTCCAGCTTTCACATTTCTGTTTGCCTGCTTCAATAATAGGTGTTACTTTATCTTTTTTTTTGTAGGATCTATTGTCCAAATTATTTGCTGATCTTTAGAATGAAAATATTGACACCACCTTTGGGGAGTGAGGAGCACAATGTAGAGAAAAAACTTTCCAAAAGAAGAAGAAGAAATTTGGAGAAATTGATACCTACTTCATATTTTAGGTCTCAATATTAATCTAACATTTTTTATAATCTTCTAAGGAAAGTGAAAAATGCATTCTATGTAGATTGGCATCAGCTATACATAAATTCTGCTTATTTACCTCCAACATAGTCCATTTTACTCTCCTTTTCCAGCCTCACTACCACTGCCTCATTAGTTTAGTTATGTCAAAATCTCCAAAGTCGTCCTCCTGCTCCAATCTTAACATCCTCCAATTCATTCTCCACATTTCTACCAGAGTGGCCAAGCCAAAAGATTCTGACCATGTCATTCCCTGACTCACACCTTTCAAGAGTGTCTCAAACATTAATCATGGCACACAAAGGTTTCCATCACCGTCTTTCTATCCCTCTTTGGTTTCCGTAACACTTACTGACCCCTTTATCACAGTGCTTTATCGGCCACTGTGCAACCACTGTGCATCTTGTTTTCCAGTTTCTGCTCTGTAGTAAAATCCTTTAATACACAATAAATAATAATCATGAAACACTTTTCATTTATTTCACAGACTGGATGCCAGATACTGTGCTTTGTGCTTTATAAACTATATCCCATATAATCTCACTACAGCCTAATAAGAAGACATTACTAATAGTCATTTAACAGATAACACTGAGGCCTAGAAAGGTCAAATAACTTGCCCTATAGGAATACAAATAGAAGTATCAGAGTCAGTATACAAATCCACATTAATATAACTCCACAGCCCACACTCTTTCCAATATTTCATTGTCTTATTGTATGTCCACTTATAAAATTTAAACAAAAGAAACTGTCCACATTATAGAAAAATAAGAAGTCTATTCTGTATCATTTGGAACCTATCTAGAAGTTGCCTTAAATTTTATTTGGAAGAGGGTAAATATTAAGTGGCAAATATCAATTAATAATATTGCTCACAAAGCTTAATAATAATTTGTTAATTAATGTTACATAGGCAGAAGGAAAGACAAGTACCTTCCAGCATTTGGATGAAATAGTTAGGATGAGAAAGTCTTAAAGGAGCCAAGACCCCATGTTGTTTTTCCTTTTCTCAGGAAAAGGAGGCCACAGAAGCAGAGGCTCACATTGCTCTTACACTGAGAGGTGTCCAATTGCTAACGCTCAAAATTCTATGATAATCTAATACTATAAAAGTGTTTACATTAAACAATCTTCCTCCATAGCTTTTATTTTTTTTTTTTTGGTTTTTTTTTTTAATAATAAATTTTATTGTTATATTCCCCATACAATTGCAGCCCCCCCATTCTGACCCCAATCCCTCCCCTCCCGCCCCTGCCCCCCAAAAAAGTGTCTCTGGTTCATAGTTTTTTGTTGATTTTGATTTTCACTTTCTTATAGTTATTCATTTTCCTGGTCCCTTATTTAAGTTTTCTAGATTCCTGCTATGAGTGAGACCATCCGGTATTTTTCTTTTTCTTTTTGGCTTATTTCGCTGAGCATGATCCCTTCCAGCGCCATCCATGTTGCTGCAAATTGCATGTGTTTATCTTTTTTGAATGCTGAGTAATATTCCATGGTATATATGTACCACATCTTCTTGATCCAGTCATCTATTTTTGGGCATTTGGGTTGTTTCCAAAGCTTAGCTATTGTAAACAGTGCTGCTATAAACATAGGGGTGCAGGTGTTCTTTGGAATTGATGTTTCTGTGTCCTTTGGGTAAATACCTAGGAGTGGAATTGCTGGATCATACCTCCATAGCTTTTAGATATGACTCTTAGGGACAAGAGGAGGGTAACAATTTATGAGTACTAGATATTTTTCATTTTTCAAGGGGGAGAAAAGGCTTTCCCAAAATTGTACACTTCTTTTTCTAGACTTCCTATGTCTACCTTAGATTTCCTTCTACTTTTCATATCACCCCAAACTGAATAAAGGGCTCTAAATATTGTGTCTCTCTAGGGCTTATTGACATTCCCTTCAATTTGTTCTGGTTATTATCTAGCTGTACTTCCTGTTAGTCATCAGGTGGCCTTTATTTCTCTTTACCTTGTGGAATCATCAGGGATTCCAGATCTCCTAACTTTGATTGCATAGCATGACAGGTATTAACATGATCTGCTTTTCCTGAATTTGCCCCCTTGAAGCACGGTTGCAATTTATCTTTACAAGGATAGTCTGCTTTCAAATTGGGCTCTCCCTGGAGCTAGCTATCCAACCCAATTTGATGTCAATGAATAATTTCAGGAAGACTTTCAGTGCTTCCTTGTTTAACCCATTAATAAACATATCCAAAGCTGACAATGAAGCACTTACAACTCTGTAATAACTCTGCTGAAATAAAATGACAACCTTAGTCAATGTCTACCCACCAGTTTTGATCCAAAGTAAAACAGCTTCCAGTGTCTTATGCTAATTCAGTCAGCCACAAGTGTTGAGCTCTTTCTACATGCCAGGCACTGTACAAGGAATTCAGAGACACAGAAATGACACAATCATGATCTCCTGACATGTATATCAATATATGCAGGAAGGCCAGAGACCTGCTAGGAGAGAATGCTTGTACAGGAAGCAGTAGGGAACAAAAAGATGGAGGTATATTCTACCTAAGACAGGCAGGAAAGTGTTCCCAGAGAAACTTAGGCTGAGTCTTAAAAATGAGTAAATGTAATCTAGGATGGGATTCCAGTTATAGCATTAAGAAAGTCCAGACCCTACCAAGCTTGAGAGTTTACAAAACGCTTTTGGTTTCACTTGTAGGAGGAATATAGGGGAACTCAATAAGACATCAGGAGAAAAAAGTAATAGCACTACGAAACACAACAAAACAAAAACAAACAGACAATTATAAACCAGAGTTATCCCGCAGGGGAGGAGGAGGAAGAGGGATCGGAGGGAGGGTGGGAGAAGCACAGGGGACTGAGGTGATGGTGCATGGATGAATTGGGGAAGGGAATTCTATGGGGACTACACCCGGGGGAGAGGGGAACCAAACATTGTTTAAGAATGAACAATGATGTAAAATAAATATAAATTTAAAAAATATGAAAAAATTAAGTTGTTTAGAGAATTCCAATGAGAAAAAAAATCAAACCCTTTCTTATGTATTGCTTAAATTAATCACCCAAACATTCCATGAGGTAAAGATTAGTAAAAGGGTTATGTGAATTTTAAAAACTTTTTATTTAGATGATGAAACTCAGGGCTGGAGAGAATAATTTTCCAGAATTTGAAGAGTTAATGAATGGCAGCCAACACTGAAACTCAATACCAATATAAGTAAAGGCAGCGTGCTGGAGGCAGTCGTGTGCTGGAGCCAAGTTACTCTGGCTCAGGAGAGTCAAGTGCTAAATACTCAGGAATTTTGAAAGCCTGTTGTCAAACTCTTGTAGCTTGAAAAAAGCTACATTTAGAGTGTTTACACCACAGAAATGGGCATATGCTATATAAATCAGGGGATTTCTCTTTTCTTTCTTTCTTTTTTTTTTTTTTTTTTGATTGTCAGTTTACCAGCACACTACTGCTTATTGATCAGTATTACCTTGCAGGAAACATCCTTTATAAAACGATGGTTTTGTACTAACACAAAGTGGCTGGATGAAAAGCTTTCCCTATTACTTCTCTGTGACTTAGAAGTTAATTACTGAAAAGGACTGATCTATTAGGCCACTTTTAAAATAATAAATCCCGTCACAATTTTTTATGTCAATAATTATGAAATTTCTTACTTGTGTGTCACATTCTAGTGAAAAAAACTTGAAGATTTTAGACACAGTCCCTACCTATGAGGGAACATTCCAGTATTTTTGTAGATGTGGCTATTGGCCAACCGGCTCATTCATTTTTAGGTCATACTTGTCACTTTTACAAATTCCAGTTCTACTCTTGTTGTTCTGTTAACAGTTTATCTCATCAGCATTTATGTGAACTCACAAAAATGACAGCAAGGAGCTCTGAGATGATTTATAATTTTAAAAAGTCATAAATATTCAAAGTAAAAGAAAATTTTATCCTATTCACCCAGTGCTCTGTATTAGAAGTCTTCAAATGCTACATATTTGTGAAACTGTTTATTTTCATAACACCTACCAGCCCCTCCACATTTAATGTGGCAGCCTTCCCTACTTATCATTCTAAAAGTATTGTCTGCCTCAATTGACCTAGTTTACAAACAATTTTAACAATTTTTAAAAAAATACACCCTCTGAAATACAGATAAATCAATCCAGGCCAATCTCCATATTAAAATACTTTGAACACACAACTTGGGAAGTTTACTATGAGCCCATTAAAGACTGGCATGGAAACATGAAGGGAATGTGCAGCCATTCGGGACCTGTACAATGTGCTACATTGTTCATTCAGTTCTTCATTTTAAACAACCTCACCTCATACCAACTGACTATAGATCTCTTGAAAACTCCACAAGTAGCATACTTGAAATATCAGGCATTTTCTTTAAAACATCTGGGATTCTCCTCAAGTGCTGGTCACTGAGGTTTATGTGCTGGAGTGTCTATGTGGGTGAGAGGTATTTACAGATATTGAGCTTGCTTAAAAAACATAATTCTGTGCCTTTTGCTATAATCTTTGTAAGCTTAGGGTGAAGACATTTTATTTGAGTTCCTATTAAATACATTTCTATGATGCCATATAGTCTAAGTCTGCTAAAAAAAAAAAAAAGTTTCTCAGAAACATCAATACTTATTTAATGTGTTTTGGTGTATTTGGATTATTTAATTTGCACAATATCATCTAAGCTACCAGAATCTATTTGTTTCTAGAATTTACTTGGAACACACAACTTGGGAAGAGTTTACTATGAGCCCATTAAAGACCGGCATGGAAACATCCTCATAGTCACCATCAGAGAAGTGGAGATGCTCTATTCATTTTTTAATGGCAAATGGATGCAGATCTCAAAGCTGCAAAGTCAGAGGAAGTCTCTATCAACACCTGAGGAACCAACAGCCTTAGACATTTTGCTGATAACCATCCAGGTATGTAGCCTTTCCAATACCCTAATATATTTAAAGTTCTAAACACACTTATTGAGGTTTCAGTGAAATGTACCAAAATCTATTCACATAAGCAATAATGGAATGGAGGGGGTCCAGAAATATGTCATTGCTTGCATTCTGCACATTGGAAAAATTATTTTTATTATCATCCTCCATATCTAGGATTCATTAAGCAATACATGTAGTGGGCATCCTGAAAAATGCTCTGACCAATGAACCAATGAGGAACATGAGACAAATGTTTGTGTAAGGCTCAACAGTTAGTATAATCAAAACATTAATCCAACACCTGAAACATTTCTAGACTACATACGTGTGCATAAAACACTTTCAACAAAAACCACTCCTACACATATTTACTCTTGCTTTTTCCTTACAATGCTTCCTTGGGACAGAAATGAAATAACTGAGTTTCAAAGATATTAAGTCACATGGCCACACCCTAAGGCCGATTTGATGAATCTAGTGAAGTTTCAGTATTATTTGGGTCTTTAATTATGCAAGTCCCATTCAAGACCCTAGCACAGACCCTAACATTTTGCAATCATAATTCTGTACTCTTTTCCTTAATGAAGGAACCAAAAATTTTATTAGCTTCAGGCCCCACCAAACTTTGGTTTGCCCCTGAGCACACACCTAGAAAATAACAAAGCTGAGGGCCTCCCCGGTGGCATAGGGGGTTAAGTATCAGCACTATCACTGCTATGGCCCGAGTTCAGTACCCAGCCAGGGTGCTAACCCACATATGGCACAGCAGAACTCTCCTATCTCACCCACTGCTCCCCTTAGCAGAATATTTCAGTCAATCCACCCATTCTACTATCCACTCTGTCTATGGTGAATCCTCTCACCCTCTGCCTCTCCAGCCTACATCTCAGTTTTACACAAATAAATAAATCTTAAAAAAAGAAAAAGAAAGAAAATAACAGAGCTGAAAGTTGAACTCAGATCACCTGATTGAAAGCAGACTTCTTTCTGCTACATTATCTCACATTGTAGGGCAAGAATTAGGATTTCAGTGAGTGAAGAATGGAAGATCCACCCAAATAATGGATGAAAGTTTCACCTGAGCACCAAATAGCCACCAAATCCAAAATTTAAGCAGCTTAGACCTGATTGTTAGTTGAGATGACAGAACTGGATACAAATAAAGTTGCATCTTTTCCTCTTAAGTCCAGCACTCTCTTTATGCCACCATATGCTCTCACTCGTTCTTATGTGAACATGGGCTTCAAACTGTTTCCTTTCTTTCTTCCTTCTTATCTTGTTTTAAACCCAGTCATGGGGATGAATCCTATAGAACTCTCCCAATTAGGTAGAAAAGCTGGCAAAATCATCTAACTTGAGCCCTATGCTATCAATGACATATATCCACAAGACAGCCAATCCAGAGTAATGGAAAGGGGATCAGACTCACATAAACATGCCAAATCCAAGCTTTGGCCCCAGCAGGTTAATAATAATCATCCTAAACAGCTCGGACAACCGGCCCACCAACTTACCTTTATTCCCTTCTAAGGCATATCTAGTACAGTAATTTCACCCTTCCATTACTTGCTCTGGTACAAACCAGGACTAAGTGCAATATAACAAAGATAAGTTAATTGCTCAAAGCCAATACTGTTGGGTTTGATTTTCTGGAAGTTGATTTCATATGAAATACATAGGGGTGTGTGTGTAGGTGGGGGCAGAAAACACAGATACTGTTCGTGGCTTGCCTCTTCACCTTTTATAAGCAAGTGCTAAAAGAAACATTTAAAAATCATAATAAATTGAGCTTTTACAGGGTGACTAATACACTAATTCCCTATAGGGATAAACGGGGGTCTGGGCTACCTTCACTCCTAGAAACAGAGCACAGCCCCCAGCATGATATAATACCTAGTTTCTCCTAGACTTATTACATTAAAAATGTGTTACAGGTGCAGAAAAATTCCAATCTGGAGAAAGGTTGTTAGAGAAGGAGACCAAAAATAGAGGCAAGATCAGGTTTCCACACAGATCCAAGTGGAAAATTTACCCCCGCTGACTGGCACATTCCTGCTTGATGTCATTCCAACCCACCCCACTCTCCCTTTCCCCCCCGACTTCATCTGTCTCCCCTCCTTCCCATGCTGGTCTTACACTGCAGAGGAAATGAGGAATAAAATGACTAGGTTTGGTATCCACTTTCTCCTAGAGATTTGAGATCTGACATCAACTCAACATGAAAGTAGAGATAGGTCTTAGTGGTTGCCCAAAGCTGTGTGGTAATTCCCAGAATGCCGAGCCACAAACCACTGTCTCTCCTTGGAGTCAGTAGAGTGATGACCCACTAGTCCTTATTAGAAGCCTGGGTTTCTTTCTGCTACATCACTTCTATCTTCTGGGGCAACACTCTGGAATCATACTGACTGAGTCCACTTTTTCTAGTTATCTATCTAGAGCAAATTATCTACCTTCTTATCTCTGGTATTTTCCGCCTCTTAAAAAACTACTTCAGAGGGTTCTAATGAAGATTAAATGAGTAATTACATAAAGCATAAGATATGTAGCACCATATGAGTGCTCAATAAATTTGAGTGATTTTTATTATGTCTCAACTCAGAACTATCCAAATGGTCTTCACCCAGGAGGTTTCAAAACAGATAAAGACTTTAACAAAATCTAGGTCTGTAACTAAGCTAATCCCAAGGGTCTCAGGGAAACTCTAATGTCTAAACCACTCAAATTCCTGACCCTCTCAAATCGAGACCTTTATAGCAGGCCTCTCTCATATATCTATGAGGAGGAGAGAAATCCTTTCCACACTTGTCTGGGAAAGAAAAGAGAGTTATTATGGACAAATTAAGAGTTCCTCTGAGCAAACTAATTGACAATGAGAATATTTCCACTAGGGAAGCTCCTCTCAAGTACTGAGTTACTCCAACCATGGATCTTTAGAGGTCACTCCAATAACTGGATGCTTCATGGGTGAAAACTTTCTCTGAAAATTACTCTCTCACATTTGTACTAGATTTTTTAGAGCATTTTTATTTTATTTTATATATTTTTTACATCATTTTTCATTTTTGCACAATGTATGCATTTTCATCTTGGCTATAGTCCCCATACAATTCCCACCCCCCTTGTTTTGATCCTACTCCCTCCTCCCCCTCTGTAGTGTGTCTCTGGTTTATAGTTGCTTGTTGATTTTGATTTTTTGTACTAGATTTTATAACACTTTGTCATACCATTGAGCATGTCATTGAGAGTTTGAGTGGATAATTTTTTTTTGTCCAGCTCACAAATGAAGCTTCAGATTTTAGGAAAATACCTTTCAAGGTCATACCAAAAAAAAAAAGCAGGAACTAGGTCGGGTACAAGTCATTTTATTTCTACCTAGTCTTACCCTTCCCATTCTACTAAGTTCCTTTTGTTTGGGTCCTTAAAGTGTGATCCTAGAGAAACTGTGGTGAAGCTTATCACCTGCCCCTGCTTTCATTCTCATCTCCTTAGCATTCCTTGTCACCCCCAGAGTCTCCTTCTTATACTTGAGATGTCCAGAACCTTCTACTTCTTCTGCCCTTTTTCTGCTTTACTCCACCCTACTCCTACTCTTTCTACCTCAAGCATCCTCTAACATGGGAGTCAAAAACTGCAGGAATAGGAAGATTAATGGAAATGAGCTTATTGAGCTGGGAATAAGAAACAATTGTGTGTACAGGAAAAACTTGTTCATTGATGGTCATAGCAGAATTATTCATAATAGCCAAACAATGGAAACAAAAAATTCTAACAGCTGATGAGTGGATAAACAAAATGTGGTATTTCCATGTAATAGAATAGTATTCAGCTGTCAAAAATGAAATACTGATCCATACTACCACATGGATGAATCTTGAAAACTTGCTAAGTGAAAGAAGTCAGACACAAAATGCCACATATTATGATTCCATTAATATGAAATATGCATAATAAGTAAATCCATAAATGTAGGAAGTAGATGAATGGGTCCAGAGTCAGGGGGGAAAAAGGATTAGGGAATGACAGCTAATGAGTGTCAGTCATGGAGGTTCAGTTATATAGTGATCAAAATGGTCTAGAATCAGGTAGTGATGATATGTGTACAATATTGCGACTATGCTAAAAAACCACTTAATTTTGCACTTAAAAGGGTGAATTTTATGCCATGTGAATTATATCTCAATATAGAAACAAATGGATATAATAAGATGACAGTAATCTGGAGAGCACTTATACCACCTAAAATGCACCCTTATTCAGCCTTAGCTAGTTGCAGTGGAAGACAGTGGTCCTGCTATTGACATATTTACCAATTTTTAAAGAGAAGTTGAAAATCTTGAGTTTTGGGATAAAATGCCTTACTTCTAAAAGTTAGAAAATAATTCATAAAATTTAATTTCTTTGCAGTCCACATAATACAGAGTCCACAAAGATCGCTGGCTACCATTTTATGGACTTTACCATCCCAGGACTATTCAGCTTCCATTCAATGAAACAAAAGTGTATACATATTGGAAAGGCATCTACATTCCTCTAACAAACTCTTAGGTTATCAAATCAATGGAGAAAAGTTAGATGTACCCTCCCAACTCACTGCACCAGCAAAACATATTCTCTCCCAGAGGTCCAGCCCCAAGCCCCACTACCTCTGGGCCTCTCACTTCATATTTAATAAACATTTTTTGAGCACCAACTAGGTGCCAGGAACTCTTCTGTGTGCTATAGGAAAAACAAATGAATAAGTCAAGATCCCTGCTCTCAAGGAGTTCAGTCAAGGAAGGGAGACAGACTTGTAAACAAATCAAGGTAATACAAGGCAGAATTAAACCAGAGCCTGATAGTAGTACAAACAGCGTACTATGGAAACACAGACAAAGCAGCTATTAATTCTACCTGGAAATATCAGGGAAGGCGTTGTAGAAGAGGTGACATTTGGCTGAGCCATGAAGGGTAAGTTAAGTTCACCAGGTGGAGGGAAGGAAAAAAAAAAAAAAAGAGAAAAGTGGGAGGAGGCAGGAAAGGAAAAAAGGTGTGGGTGGGGAGAGGGAGGAAATTGAATGGAGAGAATTAAATAGAGAGCATGGTAAAGATATGAGGCAGAAGTTGGAGAAGTCCACTCCCTTCCTTAAGTCCAGAATGGATCTCACACAACCTTCTCAAGGTCTTCATCACACGATTAGAGCACACTCCGAAATGGGCTTTCCACGAAGGGAAGAATCATGCCTTACTCATCTTGATGTCATTGACATCCTAGGACAATGCCTGGAACGTAGCTGGTGTTAAATAAAATGAGTGAATTCATGAATGAGCAAGAAAACATTTTAAAAGGGCAATTAGGGCAAACATGGGAAAGGACAAAAAACAATGCATTTTTGCTTGAAAAGACACAAAGATCTATAATGGAAGCAAAAGCTAGAAATTCAGGTTAGAGGTCAAATCAGACAATATATAAACCCATAGGCATTTGATTTGGTGTAGGCCTTGCTCATACACCTCAGATTAGGAGAATGCGACAGCTTCATTCTCTGCCCATGCATTTCTCAGGCTCCAAAAACATTTTGACTAATATCAGAGATGCAAAGGCAAGCAAATAAACAGTAGATTTTCTGTAATTGTCTTTTAAAAAACTGAATGAAAAAATGAATAACTCCATCCCAGAATGGTGTTATTTTTTTACACAACCACAGTATGTTCCTAACTCACATTCTATTTGTGGTCAGTTCTGATACCCACATGTTTTTCTCTCATACTCATACCCATCCTATATTTGTACTCTTGAGTTTGGGTCTTTACGAGCACATTTTCTTATTAAGTTTCAACCCTAATTATGATAGGCTTATTTTTCCAATGCATAGGGTCATTCAGAGCTTTATTATCATTTTCCAAAAAACTCAAAACCACACCAAATTTGGAACCCACAAATTTGATACACACATTTTTCATTTGTTTGTCTGGAACACTGATAAATAAGCTAAACAGATTGGGCCTCAGGACTAGTCCCTATTGCGCTGTCACTCACTATGTCTACTATTCTCAGACCATCTCCATCATTGACAAATCTTCAACCCAAGTATTCAGCCCCATAAAGAAACGTGGTCAAGACTCTACTTTTCCCAGATTATCTAGTGCAACATTACACTGAAGATGTCTTCCTTGTTTGTGGTTCCTGTTCTTTTATATTTAGAAATGAAAGTTGTCTGTATGACCTGCCCTTCACAAAACCATGTTGCCTCCTATTTAGTGCCTCGGGATTTCCTGGATGACTGCAAATTGATTGTTTAATGGTTCTTTCTCATTTTCCCCCAAAATCAATAAGTTGGCAGTCTTTAATTACTAATGTCATCCCATGATTTTCCCCTTCCCATTTCCAAGATAAGCATTTTGGCCCTTTTCTGGTCTTCAGAAAATTAGCTAGTTCTCAATCACTGCTCAAAAATAATGATTTGTTTGTAGCTACATCTGCTTGTACAGCAAGTACCCTTAGGGTGCATATCATAAATTCAGCTCACCTAAATACTTCCATTTTTTCCTCTCTCATTAACCATTTCCCTCTCCTTGATTATCTGTTCATTTCTCAAAATTTCACCATGACTGAACTTTTTTCCAGCCAGCTACTGACCTATAATCTGTCATGAAGAGACAGGGTAAAAGATATTAGCTCAGCCTTAATAATATTCTAATATTACTAAAAATTCCTTCCTTGGTACAAAGGATATAAAGCAACAACAACAAAAAAAAAACTTAATCCCATTATTAATTTCATAGTCTCGTTCAGGAAAAGAACATAGAAGAAAAATACAATCTAAGTGTCTACATTCTACTGTACGACTTGACATCTACTATAAAATTGATTTCAGTATAGTTTCAGTATATTGTGTTCATTTGTGGACTCATCTGTTTTTCTTGATCTCTTCAAAAAAGGGATCACACCATGTTCACCTGAAACCACAGTGTCTCCCATAGTGCTCGAACTCACTATGGTTGATAAAGGGTGGAACGGAGGAGACATCACGCTTTAGCACATGTCAGACATCGCAGATGGCTAATTCTACAGAAGGATCGCTCTTCCAAAGTAGAGTGGTCAAGGAAGGCCTTATACTCCTCGGTTCCATATAGAATTTTGTACAAGTTTAAATGTTTTTCTCCTCTTTGCCTTCCCCACATTTAATCCCAGAGTCAATTCTCTCTTTTTTACTCACTTTGAAAATCAGGCTAAAATCTAGCCTGTAGGACTCAGTTAGCTGACATGTCACTCTTTACTGTTTCACCCCTATATTGCCCAAATGTTTTTTTTAAAAGTCTTACCTTTTGATATGGGGGAGAGTGTCCTGTACTTCCAATTACTTATTGTCTGAGTTACTCTAATCATATAGGGCAGCAAAAGTCACTACCTAAATTGTTCACTCAAGAACTGACCACATACAAAACAAAACTCTGCTCACATATACCTCTTTGCTTAACTAGGTTGGCACTCCCTATGGCACCAACAATTTCATCTTCTGTTTGTGGAATATAGTGAAAATTCAGTGTAAATCTATTATAAGATAATTTTTTTAAAAAAAATACAAAACTGTTGAAGATGAGATTCACAGTTCATCAAATCACATACAAAACTAATGACAATTGAGAGTCTAGCAGTGGTAGATCAATTAACAATTTAAGAACATAAAATAAACATGATCCTTATTTTTTTTAATATTTATTTATTTATGCATACAAGAGCTGGGGTACAGGCCAGAGATTGGGAGTGGGGCTTGAGAGGATTCACCAGAGTCAGAGCGGGGAACAAAACAGGCCGATTAACAAAAGTACACTGCTGAGGGGAGCAGTGAGTGAGTCAGGAAAGGTCTGCTGCACCATGTGGGTTGCTCCCGGGCTGGCCAGGAATCAAACTCGTGCTGCAGAGTCTGCTGACCACTCCCTAGTGCGGTGCTCAACCCCTTGAGCCACCAGGGAGGCCCTCATTGTCCTTATTTTTTAAAAATATTTCAGGACCTCCCCTGGTGGCGCAGTGGTTGAACGCTGGGCTGCGAAGCTGCCTGCAGCTCTGCAGCACCGGTTCCATCCCTGGCCACCTGCGAGGGTCCCACATGGTGCGCAGACCTCTCCTGCCACACCCACTGCTCCCCTCAGCAGTGTATTTCGTCAGTCTGCCTGTTCTGTTCCCCGCTCTGGCTCTGGTGAATCCTCTCACACTCCTGCACTTCTGACTGTACCCGGTGCTTGTATAAATAAATAAATTAAAAAAAAAAAGAAAAACAGATATATAAAATAAATAAATAAATAATAAATATTTCAAAAATTTTAATGCCAGGAAAGAATATATGAAGGCCTCCAATAGTCTCCTAAAAATTATCTTCATGATCACATTGTGAAAACCAAGTATGAGTATCATTTCAACTATCAATCAAAAAAATTAAGTAAAAAAGTAGAATACTTGAGTCTCCATTCTCAGAATTAATGAATAATTACAATGTAAATGTTAATAATATAAGGTGAATAAATCTATTGCTCTGACTTTTTTTGTTTGATTTTTTTCAAGATCATCAAATCTTTTGTTTCCTCACTATAAAATGTTGATTCTATTTTAAGTAGTGTCATTTAAAATGGGCTTGATACCAGTTACCCTGAAATGTCTTCCCATACTGCTTCATCAGTTTTTACACTTGCAAATTTGTTTCCTTCCCAGCTAAACAATTAGCCCTCAAAAGACAAAAATCATGAATTCTAATTTTCTTTAGTACCTGCCTCTGTCACCATCAGCCCATTCCCAAATACAAACTATACACCTACCCCTGGCCCAGAAATCTGAGAAAAATAAGCATCATAGTAAATTAATGACCTTACTTGGAAGTTAATTCTTTGGAAGATAAGACTAGCTCTATCACCCACATGTCCCCAATATTCATGGGGTATTGAAGGTTTCTTACCTAATTCTTAGCTTAAGATAACATGGTTGACCTAAGAAAGGAAAAGCTTTTGAGATTATCAAGGTATTTTTTGTTTTCTTTTGTTTTTACCCTACAGGATATTCTCGCCTATCACAAAAGGAGCCATCAGCGTCTCTCTCCTGGATTATATCTGGGTTACCTAAAGCTATGTAGCTCTGTGGATCAGATCAAAGTTCTTGTTACCCAAAAGTTGCCCAACATTCTCTGTCATGTGAAGATCCGTGAAAACTATAACATTTCCAAGTAAGTTGTCAGCAGTTTGAATTTTCCTTGTGATGAAACAATGAGTTTGATGTGCCAGAAGAAACTGAAGTGTTACCTCCCAGTGTAGTTTCTATGGTAAGAATGTCTCAGCAGCCAACACACTGGAGTAAAGACAAAGCTGGGTTTTGACTCTAGGATAAAGAGGACTTGTGTAGTATTGGTTGGTGGAAGGAGTGATACCATTTATAGGGGGCCTGTCCTTTCACTTCTCTCTGCCTTCTTCCTTGTGCAAAAATTAATGTACAACTGGTTAATGAATAGATGTCCTTTTATTTCAATACTGCTATTTCTAATATATTTTTAATTATAATCTAAAAAGTCATTTATTGAAATATTTCTTGTGGAAATAGGTTCTGACTGAGCAATTGATTTCTCCTTAATCTTAAAGGACCCCCTACTTTCATTTTCCCCATTCCTAACTCTCTAGCCTGAGAACATTGTATATTTCCTACATACTTTATGGTTCTCTAGGGAAGAAAAGAAGTAACAAGTTCTGAGCTTCTGGAAACTGCTCTATGATTTGGCATTATGGCAAATTACTCTGTTAGCTGTGGGAAAGTTGCCCAATCTTGGTAATCAGGCTCAGCTTTATAACTAGTCTTAGTAGGCCTCTGAAAGTCTACTATAATGAACTGAATTGTGCTCCACATGAAAAAAGAAAAAAAAGGAAAGAATAGATAAGAAAATAACTGTCCAGAGTTCATCAGACTTCAGAGCATAAATCAGGTTCCCAGTTCCCAGTTGTACCTATAGTGTGCTTCAAAGGAGACTCTAATTTGGTCATTTAAAAGGTGGTTCCTAAAGTCACAAGAGTTTATTAACTATAATACCCATGGTGTTTATTTACTATGATTTGATGGCAATGAAGGAGGTGCTGATCATGAGATGACGACGATGATGATAATGGTGGTGTGATCTTCAAGGAACTCATTAGCGACCATATTGTCTTCTTTCACTTATCAACTACACCTCGACTTTAAGTCTGCCATCTGGTGGTCACTTCTACAATCAACATTAGTTATCTCCAGTCTAGCAGAGGCTACAATGCCTTATCCTTAGACTCAGCAATAGTAACTTTCATCCATTTTCTAGATTTGTATTTTAAGGTGAGGTTATACCAATGGATTTTCTCCATTCCAAGGATCCAAATTTTATTTTTACAAAAGATTCCAGCAGCCTTTATTCTGCCATCTCCCTCATCCTTATAGACTAAACTTATCAGTTAGTGGTAGATATTCCATGGTATTCATGCTGGCAATTTATTTTCCAATTTGATTGCTCATGCTATTTTAGCAAAGTGGCCCTTTAGGTTTTGTGTCTACTTATGCAAGTCAGAAACCCCTCATTTAGTTCAATATTAGTGATGAGTGAAAATAAATAGCCCCCAAGTTCTCAAAGATTTCAATTATTTGTGAAACCAACAGTATGCCCAGACTGGAATAAGATTTTATTTTTTGCTCTTATAGGGACAAAGGGGAGATTTTCCAGAGTCTTTTCCAGTATAGAAATGGAAACAAAACATATCTTGAAAACAGAAACTTTTCTAAGGGGATAGTTGATTAGGGGAGTGTTTTCTAATGGAAATTTCATGCCATAATAAATTTAGTTTTCTGTTCCACCGATCAGAGCCCTGGTTGGGGAAAGCCCTCAGAGGGCTTTCACAAGCATGGGGACATATGTCAGCACCTCCTCTTTCTGTATCTGGAGAGAAGGACTTGCCATTTGTCTCTAGCCTATCTCATGAGAGCATATTGCTGTTCCCTGCAGTTTGGAGCAGGAGAAACTGGGCCAAGTGAATGTGTTTAGAGACTTGTACTAAAATACCTGTGGAAACAATGTTGCCCAAGAGGCATTTACCTTGATCTTTTCAAGCTTCTTTTGAAGAGCAGCCTTTGGGGGACAAACCAGATGTGCTTTCCTCCCACCACCATTCTTTTCCTTTCCCTTCTGTGTGACATTTGGAAAAGTTCATTAGGAAGGATTATAGAGCATGGAGAATAAAGACACAGATGACTGGTTTGAAAAGAGGATGGAAGCAGTGAAGTGTGTCCCCTGGTTCCTTTTATTGGAATTGTCTGGTGTTCCTGTTTGTGATTCTCCTCAAGCTTTGGAAGGGGAAAAGAAACCAAAATAGTCCCCAAGATTACAACAGGCAAGGGTTGAAATGTGCCATGTGGTTTGTTGCCTGAGTTGGACCAGAGTCCTGTGGTTACCCAACTCCTGAATTAACCAGCAGATGCCTCTTTAAAATGCAGGGTCTTAGAACTTATAGGAGATCTTCAGGAAAAGAAAAAGAAAGATAGTCAGGAAACTATTACAAACGATTTCAAAGTTTCAGTCTCCAAAGTTGATTCATATAAATTAGAGGTGCTGTTGTGAGACACATGGGATTTGATAGGTAAACTAAGCTTTAGTTAGAAAAAGCTTATTTAAAAGTTTATTTGGGTGGTAAAGAAGTTCAAATTTCATGAATTCCATTGTTTTAACCACCAAAAATTGGTTGTCCAGGTTCTAGACATATATACTAAAAATGTTTTGCACTGTGTTCTGAACTTTTGTTATATTTCTAATTTTAACTTGACTCTACATACAGAGAGGAATGGGAATGGGTCCAAAAGCTTTCTGGCTCTGAATCTATGGAAAGTGTGGATCATACTTCTGACTGCCCCATGCAATTGTTCTTCTACGAGCTCCAGATGGCAGTGAAAGCTCTCCTTAAGCAGATTAATATACCTCTACACCAGGTACTAGTCTTTACCATTTTTATCTTCCTTTTATTGCTAATGGAAACTGCATTGTAGCATAAAACTCAAGAGGTAAATAAATACATACTCATATACATCTATATGTATATATAATTTCCATTAGTTTAAACATCACATTGCATGTGCATACAGGTTTTGAATTTGATGCCTACAAGTGGACCACTGGCTGTACTTCTGCCACTTGTCTCTAGAACTTCATGTTGATTTCTTCCAAGGTTCCTAGACCCTATAATACATGTTCTGATTAAATAAGGGAAAATCATTGTCTAGCCAACTTTGAAAGACAACAATTTTCAGCTTCAGGGTAACATGAAGCAAGTAGAATGAATGAATGAATGAATGAATGAATGAATGTTAGATATACAAGTGATTTCTCTAAGAACAGAAGAGCAGTGGCAGTATAACCTATAGTGATGGCCAAAGCTGTGTCACAATATCTTTCCACAAACAGAACTTACTGTCAAAATGATTGTCTCATCTGAATCAAAATGTGCAAATCTAATCTACATGAATAAGCAACCTCAAGAAAAACTGTTGGCTTAGATGAGAATAGTAAAAGTTTGTTAGCCTCTGTCTAGTAAGTTAACATGTTGTAGCATTAGATTAAATTCTATATATTTTTTGGCATATATTCACCATCTTCCCCAGCCAACACACACATACACACACCATCCTCTATACACACAGACAAAATGAACCAAGTTTGGCCTGTAAACAGGAAGACCATTACAGGAGTGACTGGCTCTCTTTTAATAACAGAGAGACAACCATGAATTGGCCTCTGACCCAGGGAGGTGGGGGCAGGTTATAAATTAGAGATTCTAAGGGTGTTCTTCCATTTGGGATACTGCTCTAATCGTAAGTCAATACTGCAAGCCTCGTCCAAAACAGCCAACACTGAAGAAGAATAAATTGCATAAGACACCATTAAGACACTAGAAGAGCAACTGGATTATTACAAGGGTGGCCATGTACTGTGGAGTAGGAAAAAAATACCAGCTCTACTTGTGACAGTAGATACTATTAAAGGGTTTCTTGAGCTTAGCAGGTTTGAAGCAGCTCATATTTCACTGGTGACTCTGGGCTACATATACATGTTGGGAGAAGGCTGCCTAACTGCCTAAGAGTGCATACAACATTTTTTTTTTTGATACTTGTAAAATTTTCTCAGTCCTTGGCCAGAAACTACATTTTTCCCCCTTAACCAACTTAAATTGAAACTAGTGGATTTTTAATTCAATCCATTTTTGTTGCTTCATGTAATTATATTCATCATTTTGAAAAGCCCACAGAATGCAATCATTTTCTGCTTTTATAAGAAGCATAAATGTTGTTTTCAGAGTTTATGTGGAACATTACTGCCTTAAATCTTGATTTTATATAGCATTATTAAATGGGCTGAACCCTAATATTTATGTTGTATAAAAATTCCAAGCTTGAAGTCGTGTAATTTTGTTAGATGTTTTATGCCAGTTTGGTGTTGTTTATGTAAGTGCCATGTTGTAACTCTCCTATTTTTCCTCCGCGCGTGTCCCTCTGCAGGCAAGGAACTTCCGCCTCTACACACAGGAGGTGTTGGAAATGGGTCACAATGTGTCCTTTCTTCTCCTGCTCCCTGCCTCAGACGACGTCTGTACAGCCCCAGGACAGAATAATCCTTACACCCCACACTCAGGGTTTCTTAACCTCCCTCTTCAGATGTTTGAACTTGGTATAGTAGCTTGTTTCACCTAGAAATATTAACCCAGCCTCCTTATAATAAAATCACAAAGTTATATCTGTTCCCCTTGTCCCAGTGGAGGGTCAATAAATCACATGATGGCTTTGGCAACAGCCCTTCCTAGAACTGTGTACAAGTCTGAGAGAAAGCAAAGCTCCAAAACTATGTGTCTGAGCGATAATTATTGAAACCTAGCTAAGGCCCATTGGAGAGGAGGGAATTTAAACAGAAAGTTCAGTTATCAGGCTGCAGTTCTTGCCTCCCCTTTGCTTTCTTAAAACATAAATACAAGAACTGATGTTTTCATGAAAAGCACCTCTCTCTCTCTCTCTCTCTCTCTCTCTCACTCACACACACACACACACACACACACATACACACACACACACCCCTCTCTCCCCTCCCCTCCCTTCCCCCCACCCTTTCTCTCCTCTAACTGAGGTAAAAATAGTGAAATTAAAATGTACAGTGTCTACCACTCTGAAGGGAAAAGAGTCTAACTTTAAGTAATGCTGATTTATCAAATAGACCCTAATATTAACAGACTGTAAGTCCCTCACAGTCTACTTGAGAAACTGACAGGGTCTCTCAGGATGCAATATTGCAAATATAATTGTGGGCTTCTGAATTGTGGTAGATCTTGTCCTGACTTTCAAAACAAATAGCCTGAGTCCCAGTTTCTCTATTTTTGCTGAGACCCCTATTGCCCACTGAAATGTGAATAAGGAGGCTTTGTCTCCCCCATGCTTCATCTTATAACAGGTCAATAAGAGGCAATTAGCAAGAGTCCCATCAATTCGAATGAATTGTATGTCTTGCAGGAGCGCAAATGACTGGGTGGGGAGAATGGAGACGGCTCTCTTTGGACTGCTCCCCAGCCACCAGATTTAGAAGCAGACAAGGCAACTGCCTGATGTCTCATTTTGAGACCTGGGCATCTGAATCTGAATTTATCCCTTGGGGATAAATGGCTTAAGCTTCTCAGTTTCCCTTGCTCCAAGCAGTTCATATGCCCAAAAGCTGATGAAAAGCAATTGTTCTTTTCCAGAGGAGGGACAGTTATTAAAAGGAGCTTGAATCCAGAGCTTAAAAAATGAGGCTTGAGAGTCCTGGGTCTCCTATTATGTGGCACCACAATCACTTAACCTTTCTGCACCTTTTCTGTGTCAAATGATAAATAACATTGACCACACCACTTCCAAGGGTCCTCAATGTGAATGTGACCATTTAATGAGTTCCCCATCCAGAGAACATTATTAGCCCATGATATAACTGCATTGCTGTTGTGAAATACATTTTGGGTAAAGGCATTTCAATTCAAGTCATTAAGCAAACATATTGGGTGCCTACTATGGAGATTCAGAGGTGAATAAAATAAAAGCCCTGCCTTCAATGAGCTTTCTGTACAGTGGTAGGAGCAAAATATGAACACAAATTACTATTTAATGAGGTAGCGTGTACCCTGTATCAAAAGTATTGAGTGATATTGAGAAAAGAAAGCACAAAGAATAGATCAGAAAGTTGCCTAGAAGGAGAGGATATTTGAAGTGGGTGTAAAAATTGACAGGATGTTAATAATCATGGATAATAGGAAAAGCTTTTTTGCAAAGAGTGCAGAATATGCAAAGACATTAAAAGAAAAGAATTCAGAGGCAGGAAAGGAACAAGTAGTTTGATTTGACTAGCTCAGAGAAATGATGTTAGGAATAGAACACAGGTTGTGCATAAAAGTTGGGGCCACTTGGGGCAGTATCTTAAGAGTCAGGCTGAGGACCCTATTTAAGATGGGTTTAAAGCAGAATTAGGGAACTATTTCAAAGGTTATTATAAAAGTCCAGTGTTAGGGTAGAGATAAAAAATAGGAAAAAAAAACACAAATGTCATTTGGAGTAATCAATGAGTTTGGGTAACTGAATGTATGTCCCCATGGTTGTCAGTCTCAAAGAATATTAGGATATGCTGCCATTGCTATAAATAAGGAAGTCAGACATAAGAAGTGGTTTGGGGGATGGAAGAAAGTAATTCATTTAGCTCCAAATATCTTGAGTCAGAAGGAGCTAATTCAACAGTCAAGTGGACATGTCTGATTAGCAATAGAAGTGCAGGAGAAAAAATAATAAACTCAGAAATTTGGCTAATGTCTATTGATAATAGCTGAATTCATGAAAGTGAATGATTTCCCCAGGGATACTTAACTGACAGGGAAAATACTTCCTTGAAGAGTATACTGTGAGTCCATTCTGCATGAAATGGTCATTCCTGTTCCATCATCACAGGCAAAAATACATGAGATTCTTTTCCTAAGTCTCATTGGCCTTGGTAGGAACAATCAAATATATGGTATCAATCATATTAGTGATTAACTCCCACAGTCCTGGAGGACCAAGCCCCAAAGTTGTCCTCTCTACCCTGCTTTGGGGGAGGCTCATGCACTGTTATTGGGCCACCACATTTTGTCCTACTGTTGTTAGTCTCTATTCTACAATTTCTATCTCCATCCATTTGTTTATTAATTCATCACCATGTATTTATTAAGTAACCTACTACTTAATAAATTATTAAACTACATTATTCCAAGTATTAGAGAATCAGTAATGGACAATATCCTCATGGAGCTTACATTCTAGTGAAGAAAACAAATAGTAAACCAATCATCAAAAAAAAAAATATTGTGAATGTCAGAGATTCATGAAGATCATGTTAAGTTTCCAGAAAAGACCACCTGGTTGGGCTTAATTCTGTTGGCATACATAATTCTATTGGTCTTTCCTAGGGACCAGGAGGAAATGTTGCTGATAGCAGGAAATTCACCTACTCCCTAATACAATACTTACTATACTCCAGCACCAGCATCAACATTTTTTAAAATGTTGCTGGGCTGTAGTAGGAATAAGGACAAACTAATCCCCAAGCAATCTGAACTTACCAAAAGGCAGATTATCATAGCTACTTCCGCCATTACATATCATCCCACTAAGCATTTAACAATATCCTCTGTAGGATTGTAAGAGCTTTTTATAGTGAACCCAAGTCCCTCTTAAGAAAGATGCTAACCAATTTTTATTTTATTTTTATAAGTAGGAACTTCTGTCTTCATAAATCAATAGCAAAGTGTGAAGAGACACACTAAGCATTTCTGAAAGGACAATGTTGTAACTTCAGCAGAACTCAGATTTTTAGTAACACAGAAATTCTAATAAAACTTGGAGAGGTGCAAATTATGGAATATGTAAGTGACAACAGAATAAAGGAATACATTATATTTCAGTTTCACTTGTATAAGTCATCCCTGTCTGGATGAAAGTATTTGAGATCTGGCAAACCCAACATGTTCCAGACAGTGGCCTGAGTGAATCATAAATAACTTGCTAACCAGCTATGGAAAACTGCATGTGTGCCTATTCCAACAAGGAATCTAGCAAGGACAAATTGATAAAGCTGCTTAGCCTCTGTCTCTTGGAGTGAAGACTAGGATGGGCAAACCCATCATGTATTTCTTCACAGCATTTCTAGTAGGAGGAGACAGGAAGACTGTCATACAGAAGAGTGTTGTGAGATCTCTCTAGCAGGGTTGAGCTGAGCAAAATGATAGAATATCTGTTACACAGCCTGAGAGCTGACATTCCCCCATTGTTTGGGTGGGGAGAGGGTAGCATTCCTCTGCAATAATAAAGCATGTACCTGGAAACTAAAAAAGGTCACTATTTATAGTGTTCCAGAGACAAAAGGCAAAGCAGCATTGTGAGTCTTTAGGAACGCTCATGGCTGGTGATGTGGCCTTGAGGGTTTTCCTAGCCTGCCCCAAGGTCATCCTGCCCTGACCCTGCAGGCAGTCAGAATGACAACAGGCCTACAATAAGGAAAGCTATATTTTATGATGTCCTTGGCTCTATGATTCATACTAAGTAGCCTAGGAAAAAAAAAACACTTTTTTAAAAGTAGGGAATTTAAAAAATATATTTTGAAGGCTGATACATATTTTATAATTCAGTATTTGGTTGCCTCTGCCATTCAACAAACAGTTACAGAACTTCTACTGTATGCCAAGGGTTGTGCTAGGACTGGATATCCAGACATTAAATAGGTACAATCTTCTCACCAGAGGCCTAGAATTCCAGTAGAAGATACAGGTATCTATGCCAACAGTCCCACTACAACGAAAGTCATGCTAAAAGAGCTAGGCTGTTGAATTTCAGAGGAAAGATATGTAATCCTTCTTTATAGAGATAATAGTTTAGCTAAATCTTGAAGGATAAATAAACACTCAGAAAAGGCAGGCAGAAAAGGGTAACCATTATAAGCAGAAAGAACACCATGCACAAAGGCTTGGAGACCTGGGAAAATGTAGCTCAATTAAGAAAACTCCTAGTAGCTTATTGTAACTGCTGATTAAGGCATCTAGGAAAAGTGACAGGGGGGTGAAACTAAAAATTTAAAAGTTCGATATCATGAAAGTCCATTTATGCCACTGTAAAGCAGGCAGACTTTATCCTCCAGGCAATGGGGAGGCATTAAAAAAATTTTTTAAGGAACAAAATGGTATTATTGGTTTTCAGCAGCTCTGTGGAGGGTGGATTGCAGGAGAGCAAAGCAAAGGCTGTGAGACAGTGAAGAGACTGGTCCAGGAGGCAAAGAGAACCTGAAGCAAAATATCCCTGCCGGGGTATGGAAGAGAAAGCAGTCACAAAAGGAATTTAGGAGTTAAAATCAGTAAGACTTTGTGATTGATTTAATGTTGTTGAAAAGCAAGATGGAGGAGACAGAGTCTGAATAGGGTGCTGAGATGGATATTGCCGCCATCTACCAAAACAGGAAATATGAGGGGGAAACAGGTTTGGGGGAGGGGAGAGATGATGAGTATAGTTTGACAAATGATGAGTTTTGAGGTGCCTGTGGGATATCTAGGCAGTGAGCCTAATGTAATCCAGGCCACAGGCTTACAAGAAATGGCACTGTCTCAGCCCTCATTCCTAATGCCCATTTTTCATGATTTAGTATACCAGTCCTGAATTCCAACTGTCAACTCATTCACTACCAGGAATCTTTAGAGGAGCATCTTGTGCCCAGGTTCTTTCTGACACAGGGCAAGGAATTATGGAACAAAACTGACCCCAGAAGGTAATCTCACTGATTACTTAGCTTGCAAACTAGATCACATGACCTAGAACAATGAAGTCTTTACCAAGTTAGAGATCTTTAGGGAAAATACCCTAGTATCAATCTCATCCTAATATCCTAACTATTAATTGCCTCATTCTTTCTTGGGAGATGGGGCAAAAGTGTGAACAAAAATTTATTTTGTACCTGATATGTGCCATAGGGTGAGCTAAGTACGTTACATATATTCTTTAACTCCAGATGAGCATTATGACCTTTCTTAGATATGAAGAAAATGGGGTTCCTAATGGTTATGCTCCTGTTACCAAAAAGGCAGTAAGTAGCAGAACCATGATTCAAACCCAGAGGTGTCCAATACCTAAGCCTACTTTCCACTCTACTTACTCCTAACCTGATCTCTAATGTTGATGCTGACTATGTACGTGCAGAGGACTGCATTTTAGTATGACACTATCTTATACAGAAAAAAAGAGGGAAAGAAAACACCACAGAAAATGAGCCTTAGTTGGTGAATTACTAACAAATCATGTGGTTCAGAGAATGCATTATTGTAGCCTTTATACCATTTTGTCTGTAAAATGCATGTGATTCACATTAGAAAAAAATTAGAAGCTTCCAGTCTATCCTCTCCTCCTCAGTGATGGCTACCAAATGTATCATTGCTAAACCACAAAAGACTATGTTAAAGTAACATTTGTTAAAGTAACATTAAAGGCTCTGGATAAAAACCACTAGAACGAAAAAGTGAAACGTTGTAGTTGAAAGGTTCTCAGAGCTGACTGTGGTGAGTGGCACGGGTGGTGTGGGCCTTGTGGGACCACCCACTGATCTCCACTTGATCCAGGGCTCCCACCGCAAGGAGACACAACAAGGGAAAGTTGTGGACACCCTGGCGTTTTAGAATTCAGATGGGACTGATAGTGTTTCTTTTAAAGAAATTCCTCGGAGCCTCTCTCTATCTTCCCAGCTATGTTTCAGAAAGAAAAGGAAAAGCTGGTTTTTTTGACAACTTTGTTTAGAAATGCAGGCTGGGATATACTTCACTCTCTTCACTCTCCAGCCAGGAGAGGACATCTGTCAAGTGCTAACAGGATATAATCCCTCCATGAAGGCATAAAGACACATTCAGGGAGCTGCAAGGGTCAAGAGTAAGCTACACAGTGAGGGTGACTCTTTCCTATAGAACTGCCATCCCCATCACAGATCTGAAACACACCCTTCGCAACAGGAAAGTCAAAGAGCACAATGAGGAAAGAGAGAAGAGGGCAGGAAAATGAGATTTTGGAGGGTCTTGCCTCCTCAGATCAGGGCATGCATTTATTTGTTCATTCAGTCAATAAACACTGAGAAGCTACCATGGGTCAGGGTTTGAGAAGGTATAGGAGACATGGTTCCTGCCCTCAAATCACATTCTAATACTGAGGCAGACAAGTAAACACTTAAGTACAATAAAACAGGGTAAGTATCCTGATTTATTTAGAAAAAGTGCTATAGGATGCCAAAAGAGAAAGAAACTGGTTCTGGCTAGAGGGGAGGAAATATCAGTGAGATTTCACTGAGAAGATATTCAAGCTCAATCTTCAAGAATCAGAAGCAGCTGGCCTGAAGGTACTGGTAAAAAATAGTATTTAAGGGTAAGGAAAAGGCTTGCTAAAAGTCTGCAAGTACAAAGGACTTGTGATGTGTTCAGCTTGACCACAGCTCAGGGTCAATGCAGGGGGAGAGGTGGAGCATGGTTGTCTGATGGGAGCTGTGTCTTGAAGACACAGTCAAGTGCCCCAGCACGGGAACTTTCCTTGTGGCAGTAAGGTTTTCGGATTTGATCCTGAAGTTGAGAAGGTGCTCTGTCCTTCAGCAGGGAAGTAACATGAAAAGTAGATCATTTGGAGGGAGTTCAAGAGTCTGTCATTTGCTGAGAGGCGATATGAAATCAGTTTTTCCGCATGTCAGCAAGGAAGTGCTGGAGCAGAGGAAAGGGGAAGGCAAGTTAGATACCAGAGAGAAAAAACAACTCTAGAGCTGAGACTACCTGAATGGAGGAACACCTTGGAACAGCGCATAGTGAGTGAGCAGGGGCCACCGAAGGCCTCAGCCCAGTCTTCTCTTCAACCTGCGTATAGGGGGAACAAACAGAGCAGGTTACTGTTAGGCTCAACTGATAGTCCAGGAAGAAATCAAGCAAGGAAGCAGGCAGCGGTAGGATGTGAATTGTAAGGTGCACAGAAATCTCTCAATATGCAGAGAAATAAGGCTCTTCACTGATGCCTAGAGAACACAGCTTGCCCCATTTTGAAGCAGCATGGTTTTAGTTTTATTAAATGGTCAGGTCTGAGTCCTTAGAGCAGAAGCCCCAGGGTAGTATTTTGACGGACTTGCCAGAATTCCTCACTAAAGAAGCCAGAAAAAAAAATGTTTTCACAGATTCATTGAGTTATAACAGTCCTATTCCCCAAACATGGGACACATTGGTATGGTCAGAGATACAATGAAAAGGATGCCTGGAGGGTGAGTCTCCAAATTTAACAATGTCCAGGAAGAGAAAGGTACCTCACTAGTGTGAACTGGGATGATTTTCTGATCCCACTAGAATCTGAAGTGGAGAGCCAGTAAAGGAAGTGTGGAAAGCCTGCCCACCTCAGGCTACCTACACAAGGCTCAATCCCACACTCCTCTGTCTCTCCTCCATGATTCCACAATGGAGGTGAAGGTTAGACTGCTTCCTCTGGCCTCTGACCCACTATACTTTGAGGAAGGAAGGCCAAGATTGCTGAAGACAAAGTGGTGTGTCAGGGGATTCTTTATCCTTCCAGGGTAGCTAAGGAAGAGAGGCAGGTGGAAGACCAGAGTCCATCAAAATGGGTCTTTAGGCAAGTTTTCCAGTCAGAAAAAACAACATCCAGAGAAAAATTCATCTTGTATCTTATAGAATGTTGGGCTTTGGAAAGGAACAAGTAAGATGCACGCTCAAAATCAGACGTGGAAAGCAGACCTAGGTTTCAAATTGCTCTTTGGATTTTCTTCCTTTGAAGTGATGAGAAAACTTATTTTCCCAGAGATATATATACACGCACTCAAACCCAACTTAGGGGTTGAACATAAACTGTAGCTTGAGCCAACCCCACTTCCCCACACCTTACCAGGACTCAGTAAACCTTAAAAGGGAACACTGTCTGACTAAAGCCAGACAACTGGCCCCTTAAGAACACATTTATAATTTATTTATGGCTTAATATTTTCCACTGATAGGATTAATAAATCATGTTTTCATTCAACTTGTTTTCTCTGAGGTATGAATTTCTCTATTTTGATACCAGATCTTAACATGTTTTATTTTGCTTGTCTATTTTCCAGTTCATTTTTGCAGTTACAGGGAGAAATTTATTAGTCTGTATTGCCGCCTTTCTGCTGTTGTGGAGCTGGATTCTCTGAATACCCAACAGTCCCTGAGGGAAGCAATCTCAGACAGCGAGGTTGCAGCTGCCAAACAAAGACACCAGCAAGTTTTAGATTTCATTCAGGTAATAGTTTGTTTCTTCTGAGGTAACAGGAAGGGGGCAAGATGGGAAAGAACAGCAATCTGGGCTGATTTATATATCAAAGTATGCAAGTAGCCATTGATTTGGTTAAAATGTGGGACTTGGGGAAATGTGAGTTTTAAAACAAAGGCTTAAGAAAAAGCTGTAGATAAATCACAGTAAGAGCTGCACCAGCCAAGGGGTGGGTTGGGGTGGGGTGGATAGAAGTGGCATCCCATATTGACGAGAAAACCCACTGCCAGATGTAGTGATAAGAATACAATTACCCAGTGGCCCACTGACAATTCCAGCAGAAAGAAAAATTGAAACTCAGATACCTCCAAAGCAAAAGCGAAGGAAATAATCCAAATAATCTTTATGTTGACCCAAAACTAGTCTGACCTAAGATTCTTCTTGCTTTCTCTCTAACAAAGTTGACACTTTTATGTGTGACTCCATCAGAATATGTGTTCCCTGTCCACAGTCTTGTCTGAAAAGGCCTTAGTTGGCACCTCATGAAAGGGTGAGAGTTTGTAACCAGTAGTCAAGAGAACGTGTATCTGTTCTGAAATTGCTTCTAAATCCCTTGGGCAAATCTTAGGATCTTGTACCTATGTGTTACTCAATTCACAAAATGAGTATAATAACAATAACCTCCTGATGAATATCACTATAGCATAAATGCAGATCAATTTGATTACTACCAGGTACCAGGCACTGTATGGGAGAGACAAAGTTGAATAATACACAGTCCCTGACCTGAAGGAGTTTAAAATCCATTAAGTTAGACAAAATAATGTGTGCAAATACTACTTGCAAAATGTTAGGTGCCAAAAGGGAAGTATAAAAAAAGAAGTTCTATGTCAATACAAAGAATTAAAATTTCCTTAAATGTGTAGGTATAAGAAAAACTGCCATAAAGGGTATAACTGATACCTGAGCTGGGCATAGAGGAGTAAGTGAGACTGTGGTGAGGAGAAATAGACTGAGGGACATTGGAAGAAAAAGTATAAACAGATAAGGCAGAGAGTGAAAAAATAGAATTTGGGGAATGATAACTACTACTATTGGGGCAAAACTGAGTGAAGGTCAATAGTGAGAAATTAGACAAGAATGATAGTAGCAATTAAATCAAAGCACAAAGACTTTTAAAGACCAAAGTAAGAAATTTGCACTTTATTCTGTAGCAAATAGGGACTTATAAAGATCTGGAGAAAGTTAAGCTACAGATTATCATAACTGTTTAGGGTAGATATAAGAAGGGCGCTGGGGGGTGTCTCTCCCAGAACATGGTATGGCCAAATTGGTTGTTCACAGTAAGCAAGCACCCATTCTCAATGGTCATGCTCACTAAATAATTTGCATAGCATTCTCACTAAATTTGCATAGCATGCTCACTAAATAATTTGCATAGCATTCCTGGATTTAAGAAGACACTAAGGGCAGGGAGATAAGAAATAACAAAGACCTAACAAGAGGAAATGCTATGAATCTGGGGCAAATCTAAGTCCCAGTCTCCTCAAGTATAAAATAGGGATGATAATAATGGTACTACTTCACAGTGCTACTGAGGAATTCAAGAAGATAATGCATATAAAAGCATTCAACAAAGTTTCTGCTACAATAGGTATATAACTAATTGTATATTCATTTTGTTATTCATTAATAAAAAGGGGAATGTTTTTGAAACATGGATATGCAAGATTTCCAAGTACTCAGAAGAAGATATTACAATACACTTGCACTGTAGTTAGCAAACAAATCTTTAGGATTAATTTATTTCTCTCACCAATACCTTAGGTGACTTCTCAGATGAAATATAAACCTTTCAAAAAAATTACTTGTTCTCTTAACCTGAGCCTATAGTATTTAAAATTCAAAATGTTTACATCGTTTATTTTATTTCCAGTAAAAATGGAACATGGCTGGGGGGAGATGTGGGGAAAGTAAGAATGAAGTATGAGAAGAATATGAAAGACTGACTTATCTTTTGAACTCAAGAAAAGGGACAGTGGAGCATATTAAGATTAATGACCAGGAGTCGATTAGTATACATTATTACTTCTGATAAACTCTGGAGTATCAAGCAATTCATTTGCTCCTCAGGGGCCTCCGTTTCCTCGTATGTAAAATGAAAAGATTGGAGTAGATGACTCTAAGGGCCTGGATGGCTCTAACATTTTAGGATTGAACAACCATAAATATGTTTAGAGAAACCCTTCTCTAAACCTTTCTGCTTTAGTCCACTCATGCCCACCTGAATCTATTATGTTCATCCAACAAGAAGGCTAACTTTCTTGAGTTTGTCACACACTCAAACCCCTCCCGGAGTTCCTGGCTCCTTTCTTTTTCACTTAGTCTAGGACTCCACTGCCTTCTTCTCTTTTCCTTTCATCATACTATTAAGTGGAATGGATAAAGGCAGGCCAGGCCAGGCCAGGCATTCTTCAAAGTTCTAGTCTTCTCTGGTCTCCCAAAGCAAGAAACTTGAGAACCCCCTCTGCATACTCTCTTTCCAGTCGGCCAGGTACACGTAGACTTGGATAACAGCCAATTCCCAAAAGATTCAAAAAATAACTTCTCAGCCAGGGTAAAACCAGACCACTTCCCTGCACCCATAGCCGTCAATGAGCGGCTTGCTCCACCCAACTTGGATAACTTCACGGGCCGGAGACAATATCATCTCTCGCTTTATCTATGTCGGGCTTCTCGGTCTCTCTGTCTCAGAATAAAAACCAGCTGCAGCCACTCACCCACTGGTGTTCACAGCTCGGCCCACCGCACACCGTCACCGGCAGAGGGGACCGCCAGCCGTGAGAGCATTTGTATGATTCCAGATCTAAGACAGTGTTGAAGTCACTACACAAACCAAACATTGTAAAGAGCAAGGGAGTCTATGTAAATACAGTGGAGGAAAAGAAGCCAAAGAGTGCAGCCAGAATGGGGGAGGGCTGGGCCAGGGGAGGTGTAGAAAATCACAGATAAGGTATACAGCTTTACAGACAGCACACGCAGCAGAAATGTCAAATTGTGGAGACTTGGAGCTTGGCATATTTTGAGCTGCTAAAGCCTAAAGGGCAATTAGGCTATAATTTATATACTGTAATGCTTCAAATGCTCCTAAGCTGTTATAGAAACACAGCTCATTAAATATAGCCAATCTATCATCCCCTCAAGCACCTTGTAACTGTGCTGTGAGAAAACCAATCACCTTTATATTTTAATAAAAATATTATCTTGCCTGAGTACAGAGAAAGGGGTATAATTTATGGGATGAAAACCAAAAAAATTTTAAGGTCAGAGTGAGAAATGGATGCAGAACTTTTAACCAACAGACCTAGAGAGTTCATGGTCTTTCTTTCTAAAAATATGTCAGCAAGTCTTTAGAAGCTGAATTTGGACCTTAAAATCAGGGGGATTATGTTGTCAGTTATTTTTAGATCAACAGTATAAGGTAAAATGGGTGAAAATTGCACCTCTTTTAGAGCTACTTAGCAAAGTCTCTTAAATTTAGTTCACAGGCCTCTTGTACCTGTTTTTCATTTCTCTTGTTAGTACCTCTTCACTTCACCGCTGAGAGAAATTAAGAAGCCCACATTGTTTCTATACACAATTTTAACAATCTCTGCACTAAATCTCACTATCCATCCTCAGCAATATAAACGAAACAATATTACCCAAAAATAAGTAGATTATTATTAAAAATTGTACTAGTGTCCCAGGACTGCTATTACAAATTACCACAAACTGGACAGCATTCAAGCAACAAAAATTTGTTATTTCATGATTCTGGAGGACAGAAATCTGACATCATGGTGTTGCTAGGGCCACACTCCCTCTGGAGGCTTCACAGGAGAATCTCTTCTCAACTTCACCTGCTTCTGGGGGGTTTGGCATTCTTGGACTTGTAGCCGCATCACCTCCATCTCACTTCTGTGGCCACATGGTTTCCTTCTCTTCATTCTGCCAAATCTCTCTTCCTCACTTTTTTTTTTAAAGATTTATTTATTTTTATACAAGAACCAGGGTACAGGCCAGATGTGTGGGAGGGTGAGAGGATTCACCAGAGACAGAGCGGGGAACAGAACAGGCAGACTGACAAAATCCACTGCTGAGGGGAGCGGCGGGCAAGACGGGAGGGGTCTGCTGCGCCATGTGGGATTCTCACCGGCCAGCGGGGATCGAATGTGAACAGCTTCACAGTGTAGCGCTCAACCACCTAATCCACCAGGGAGGCCCTCTCTTCCTCACTCTTATAATAATGCTCTTATGAGGACATTTGTCATTGGAATTAGGACCCACCCAGATAATCCAGAGTAAATTTCTCCTCTCAAAATCCTTAACTTGATCACATTTTGTGCCACATAATATAATGTTTACTCTTTAATTCCAAAGATTAAGACATGGCTAGGTCTCTTGGGAAGTAACATTCAGACCATTACAATAGTCATGATCATCATGACAACTTGAAACTTTATATATAGTTTACAAGGTACACTAAATTACATTATCTTACTTAATCCTCATAATAACTCTATTCAAGAGTAGAGATCTAGAGAACGATGTAACCATTAATTTATTGAGCAATCATTTATTGAGTAACTACTCAGCACAGCCAAGGGTCTTAGTCCTTGGCAGGCACTATGAAAAGTGTCCACAGTCATATAGTACATTTAAAATAACCTTGAAGGCCTCCCCTGCTGGTGCAAGTGGTTGAGCGCCACACTGTGAAGCTGTCCGCAGCTTCTGCAGCACTGGTTTGATCCCAGCCAGCCAGCGAAGATCCCACATGGCACAACAGACCTCTCCTGTCGTGCCTGCTGCTCCCCTCAACAGTGTATTTCATCAGTCTGCCTGTTCTGTTCCCCGCTCTGTCTCTAGTGAGTCCTCTCACCCTCCTGCAGATCTGGCCTGGACCCCAGTTCTTGTATAAATAAATAAATGTTTTTAAAAAATAAAAATAACCTTGAGACAGGAGTATACTACATGAGATATGACCAATAAAGGCCAGAAGAGACAGTAACAATCCCACTAAGGTCATGTGTCTGAGTTTCACCTGGGACTCCTACTTTGTCTTTACCCATTGAGTTTCAGGGTTCTCCCTTCACAATGGCTCAATTCCTCTTTCATGGGCCTGCCCACTGCTCAATCTCCTGCTCCTCTCACCAAGCTAAAAAAGTCTAAACCTCAACCTTGTGCTTTCATTACCATCTCTGAATATTCTGATAAATCCTGTCACCCTAGAATAGAACTAGAAAGCAAGGGAAGGTGGCTACCGACCACACATTGGCATCCACTTGCTTGTGGCAGCTTGCCTATCACTCAACATGGCAGACTGTCAGTTTCAGTTTCTGTCTTTGTTGGAAATGCCAGGTTTGTGGCTATTCTTCAAAGAGTGGGGTTTCCGAAATACTTTTCTATTTTATTTTAATTTTTTTCCTATTTCAGAAAAAAATACACATTACAATGAACAAAGTTTAAATCATATAGAGAACCATAAAGACATAACTGCTTCCCAGAAATAATCACTGATTATATTTCACCAAATAGATATAATTTTCCTATAAATGCTATGTTGCTTAAGAAAAACTTTTGTTACTAGTGTTTTGTAAACCTGTATCATTCATTTACCTAATTACTCTGTTTTTCCACTGTTTAGATATCCTATAATCTATTTAACTGTTTTCCTTTCCCATGGCTATTTACATTGATTCCTCATCTATGATATGAGGAAATACAGAGTTCATCAATTAGATCTATCACCTAATTCACAGTAGGACAGCAAGAAGCTGAACCAGAAAAGCAGCTATTGTCACATGAGGGGAAGGTTATTTAAATCTCTTTTCCATTTCCTTCAAAATCCCACCAAAAGTGAAATCTTATGTATTGCATGCATGTCTCTGTGTGTGTCTGTGCGTATAGGGTTTCAGTACAGATTAAAGCCCTAAAGAAGAAATTTAAAAAATAAAATATAACACTGAGTAGTCCCTTATCTTTAAATTTTCTATAATTAGAGGCAGTGAATATTTTCTATATGGATGCTCAGTGACACCGACTTTCCAAATATTCTTTAATAATAAATCATAAAGTATCACAGCTGGAAGGGATCTTTGACATCATCTAGTCCAACCTCCTCTTCTTACAGTTGAGTAAATGGACTCCCAAAAATTAGTGGTTTGCCTAAGGGACCAAGTAAAATCAGATACAAAGCTTGTCCCATAGGCCCCTATCTGGATACTATGAAAAAATGTCTAACTAAAGTCCCCCTCTAGAGACAGTCACAATAACCAGAAAGTTACTGGCCAGTGCCTATTAAGATCTGGAAGAACTTATGCCATCTACAGAGATAGAAACAAAAATATAAGTGGCTTTCATTAATAGTAGGCTTCAGAGAAATGAATGTTGTTCTAGAATCACTTTGATAGCCCAAAAATCAAAATGGTAATGCTCTAAAATGGGCTACCCTAAAAACATAAGGATATTAAAGTTACTGAGGAATAACTTGCTTAGGCTGTTTTATACTTTAGAAATACCTATTTTATATATTAAAAGTAACAAATGTAATATGTAAACTTATTTCTTCCTGTTACAATAAGTCTAATAATCCCTGCTTGGCAAATATTCCAATAAAGCTTTTTTTCTAGTTCACTTATAAGAGTTAAAACTGTATTTCAAGTATTCTAAAATTCAAATTTATCATATACCTTCCCGACACTATCCTAATGAGGAATATTTCACATATTCCAAGAATTTATCAGCCCTTATGTGTGAGAAATATACCGAACAGTTTCACAGAGTACTTTCAAATTTGTCATTTCACCCTATTATCATAGTAGTCCTGTCAGAAATAGGAGAGAGATTTTGTCCACACTTTACAAATGAGGCAGCAAAGACTCAAAGAGGTCGACTGACTTTCCAAAGGATTTTACAGAGCTACTGAGTTTTGGATCCCAGCTGGAATCCAGGTCTTCCATGATTTGCACTAAACAACATAGCCTCTCCATTTAAATTATGAAAGACCCACAAGATTACAATGAACAAGTATTTCTTGCCTAGCAGACCTATGTTGAGAGTATTTTATTCTTGCTTAAACCAATACGGTAGAAAACGGACCACCTTAGACTCTCAGGGAAATTTAATCCACTTTAATTGTTGTTTGATACCTTCATGTCTTTTACTATTTCATTCCAAAGCAAATAGATGAAGTCTGGCGTGAAATGAGGTGGATCATGGATGCTCTGCAGTATGCAAGATACAAACAGCCAAATTCTGGCTTACCCATCACTAAGCTGCTCGACCCCTCGGCTGAGCAGAACCTAAAGAAGATCAACTCCACATCATCACATATAGATTGTCTTCCATCCCCATCCCCATCCCCAGAGATGCACAGAAGAAAAGCAGTGAGTGGTAAGCAATAGGACCTAAAGTTTCTATATTTCTTTTTTTTTTAATTTATTTATTTATGCATACAAGAACTGGGGGTACAGGCTAGAGGTGCAGGGAGGGGGGGTGAAAGGATTCACCAGAGACAGAGAGAGGAACAGGAAAGGCGGATCTATTGAAATACACTGCTGAGGGGAGCAGCGGGCGAGACAGGAGAGGTCTGCTGCACCATGTGGGGCAGCTCCCTGGCCTGGGATTGAACTCATGCTGCAGTGGCTGCAGACAGCTCCACAGCACTGAAACTTAACCCCTTGCACCACCAGGGAGGCCCAAGTTTCTACATCTCAATTATACATTCTTGGTCCTCTCTCCACTGATGAGGTTTTTTGTGCAGAGATATTGGTCCCAGCGAGCAGTAGGAAATACTGTTCTCTGGTAAGAGTCTAAAAGTATAAAAAACCAGTGAAGGAATCAGAAACTAACCTGAAATCAACACCATTTAGAGGTGGTAGATTCTGTCCAGTTCCTTTTTTTTTTTTTTTTTAAGATTTATTTATTTATTTATACAAGCACTGGGTACAGTCAGAAGCACGGGAGGGTGTGAGGATTCACCAGAGCCAGAGCGGGGAGCAGAACAGAGAGAAGGACCAAAGTACACTGCTGAGGGAAGCAGCAGGCGGCAGGAGAGGTCTGTTGCGCCGTGCGGGACCCTTGCCAGTAGCTGGGGATCGAACCTGTGCTACAGAGGCTGCCAGCAGCTTCGCAGCCCAGGGCTCAACCACTGCGCCACCAGGGGAGGCCCTCTGTCCAGTTCTTATTCAAGCTTCCAGATACAAAACAACATAGAGTAGGGGTAAGGCTGCAGAAATGCAGAATGGAGACAGCAGTGCCAGGTGAGGGCCAGGTCAGCCAAGGGAATCTGACCAAAACCACGTAAGAAAGGAGAACAGGTCCACTCTCTAGTAAATAGGGCCTGACAGGAATTGGGCAGGCAGTAGGTCCCAGTCTGGCTAAGAGTTCAAGGCAAACTTCCCACCCTCGGGACACCAATGTCCTGGGGTGGAAGGTGGGAAAGAGAAACCTTGGATAGACTAGAATCCTGACACCGAGGCCAAATAAATTGGTTGGCCTTATCCTGAATACAACGAGAGGAGACAACTTACAGACAAGCTGGAGGTGCCTAGCAATTAGCTCTTGGGAATAAAGTTTGAGTTCACGTGAAAAATCTAACCAAAAAAACATGGGTGGGTTAACAGAAATTTCTACAAAACACCTTTATGCTTATAAGCACAGAAAAAGCATACCAGTCAAAGGCAATATAATGCTCTTGCCTAGGACATGTGGCCATTTTTCCAGCCAATTAAAATAATGGCATTCAAAGCATCTTTTTTTTTATTCTGTAGCTCATAAGCGCCCCCATTTTTAAGCATTACAGTAATAATATTATAAAAAACAGTTCTGAAATGTGGGCTTGCCCTATAGGGGGCAGCATGGTGCAGCAGAAAGACCTTGGATTTATTGTAGAAAGTAGAGCCCTGGATTCAAATCCCAGCTTTATTTTACTAGCTGTATGAACTTGAACAGATTACTACTTCTGAGTCTCTGTTTCCACATTTTAAATGAGCATAATAATATCTACACTTTGAAGAGCTGCTTGTAAATAAAATCATCCATGTTAGAGATGCATGGCACATAATACACAATAAATTGTGGTACTATAATTAATGTTATTGCTCTTAATTAGAAAACATTGGTGGGGATATGAGCCTTTCCTATAAGTGAGTTTGTGTGTGCTCATATACGTTAAACAGCTCAGTATCTAAAACTCAAAATTGGCCAGGGGAAAAACTTGAGAGACAGCTCATTTATATTATAAAAGGTTCTATGATTTACTAAGTAATTCCACAAAGGAATTAAATAGAGTTCCTTGTGTACACTTGCTTGTATTCCCTCTGCATTGGAATACACACTCCCTGCCAGAAGCTAGTTTAAAGGGAGAGACACACATTAAGCAAAAATTTCATGAAATTCATATGTACTATGATAAGGATACGTATATGGTGTTATGGATCTATTAGTGCTGTTGATCATAAAACTTTTAAGATCAAAGACAGCTTCCTAAAGGAGGTAACAGAGTCAAGTATTGAGGGTAAGCAGGAGTTGATTACATAAGAGAACATTATAGGCAGAGAAAATAGAATGTACAATTATGTTATAGTTTAGGAAACTGCAAGCAGCCTGCCTGAACCCAGGAGTCGAAGGCATTGTTCCTCTTTTTTTTTTCACTGAAAAAAATATTTATTGGTTACCCACTACATGCCAGGTATTCTTCAAAGTAACAGGGATATGGTGGTAAAGCAAAGTCTCTGCTCCCACAGAGTATACATTCTAGAAAGAGGGACAAACAATGTAAGCGTAAACAAGGTAATTTCAGAGAGTGAAAATTCCAGTGAACTATATGACACACAACAGCAATCAGGGTGGGCAGAGAACGTGTTGAACTCACTAGGATGATCAGCAGAAACCTATCTATGTATGTCACATTTGACTGACCATTGAAAAAGCAATGTAAAAGATCTCTCAGAGCAATGCAAAGATCTCGAGTTGGAACATTCCAGGCAACAAAACAGCAAAAGACCCTGAGATGGATGAGGGATAGAAAGGCAGCCGTCCCACGGGAGAGGGGTTAGTGGTGAGAGAAAGGGTGGAGAGAAAGGCCGAGACCAGATCAAACAGGGGTCTCTACACCATGGTAAGAAATTAGGGTTTTATTCTACTTGTGATGGAAAGTAACTGGACACTTTAAAGAAAGGATTGATACCATCTAAATTACTCTTTAAAATTAAATCTGGCTGTTGTATAAGAGAGGATACAGGAACAATATTGGAAGCACAGAAATCAACTAGGAAACTATTAACAGAAGAAATACCAAGTTTTTTGTCTTGGGTGCCTCAGGGTATCATGATGTCATTTACCAAAAAAAGAGAAAAAAAAAAGGTTACATAGGAGAAACAAGCTTGGGGGTTGGGCATGCTGAATTTTAGTTAGCTCAGGATATTTTACACAAAGAGAAATGTTCAGGAGAAAACAAGCTATAAGGGGTCTGGAGCTCGGAAAAGAAAATTGGACTGATAGATTTAAGAACCATTGACATATAAATGATGTTGTTACCAAAAATGCTTGGGATTCCCTGGAGAGAGCAGGTGGATTAAGAAGAGGAAACTAGGGAAGGATCCCTGTGGAAAGTAAAGCAAGAATCCTTAGACTAAGAAGGAATAACCAGAGAAAGAAGATTCAAAAAAATAAAATTTCAAAAGATGATTATAGGTTAAGTAAAATCTGGGGGTGGCGGGGGGAATCCATTGATCTGTTTTGAACAAAGAAGTCATCAGTAATCTTTATTAAAGAAATAACGATTTGCAACATTACATCAGTTTCATGCAATATTAGAAATCAGTATCTGTATCTACTACATTATGTTTGCTGTCCTTCACCATACACTTAACCCCTACTACTCAATTTGCCACTCTCGTTCTCCATTCCCCACTATTTTGTTCTTAGAATCTAAGGGTTTGTTTTCACTTTGTTTGATCATTAGTTTTATCTCCAATATGAATGAAATCATGTTTGTCTTTATCTGCCTTACTAGCATAATACCCTCAAGTCTGTTCACGTTGTTGCAACAGCAGGATTTCATCTTTTTTATAGATGAATAGTAGTCCATTATGGATATACGCCATACCTTCTTTACCTAATCATCTGCCAATGGGTACTTACGTTGTTGCCAACATTTGGCTGTTGTGAATACACTGCAGTCATCAGTGATCTTGATGACAGCAGTCTGTAGAGGGAAGGAGGTAGAGGCTGAACATAAGGAGATCAGGAATAGATGGGAAATAAAGAAATGGAACTAGTAAGGATATACTCTTTAAAAGTCATGGCTGTAGAACAAAAGAGGGAGGGCAGTAGCTAAAGAGGTATAGAGTTGAAAGACATTTTTAAAAGGCCTAATAGGCATGTCCTCTGTTGTTCCCCAATTCATTTAATTCTATAAACAACTCTTTAAGTCTACTTACTTCTATTCTCACCGCCCTGCCCTCTCTCTGCTCATAGAACATAGCCGGTGTATAATCTTCTCTCAGTCTCAGGGTTGTAAGTGGGTCCCCTGGCTAGATGGGGTGTCCTTTCCTGTACCACAGAAGTGCCAGACTCATGTTGGCCAGAGGACCGATTACACACACTCCCTGCTGGGAGGATCTAGCCAATTGCATTCAGATTTTAATATTAACTTAAAATGTGAGTGATCATCATTCTGTTTCTTAAAATATAACTCTCTCCTGGGTCCATTTATTTCTCTGAAGCCAAGATTCCATGGGCTATGAAACACAAAGTGGAGGACAGCAAATGAAAAATGGAACCCGGTGACAGGGAAACGTTGAGAGCTGGGAAAAACATTTAATGTCCTATCCCCTCACAAAAGCATTTCAGAGCAATGAAATCTGCTCCTGCTTACTCTGTCCTCTCCATTAGTGTGGCCACTTGGAATTGTTTGGAAACCATTTATGAAGGGGGGAAAATCCAATTTAGAGAAACATCCCCACTGGGTTGCTCACAGGGCAAAGTTTGCAACACAGTTCCATTCTGTGTGGGTAGAACTGTGAGGAGCTTGCTGGAAACACAGAGACTATCACAAACCGAGTGCCAGCCTAAGATTTCATCGTAAGGCTGTTGAGTACCTTGGATTTGTTTGTGTGTGTACAGATACACTCTGTATTGGGGGCAGGAGGGAGTAGAACTCTTTAACTCACTTCCCATTTCTGTGTGGTTTTCAAACACAAAGTAGAACTCCTCTGAGTCAATTAAAATTAAGCATTTCCCAAGGACCCAAGGGGGAAAGTTGGCTCCTCGAGAAGGCAGCTCAAGGCAGGGGGTGGAATGATTGGTCCATCACATGGGTATTTTTTTCTCCCACTCCTTTTCTGTGGGTATAGTGGTCACAGGCAGCAGCAATTTTTTTTTCCAAT